AAACGCACCCATGGGGGCGTTGAAGGACTTCACTTAGTGGCAAACTCCTTGGTAGCAATAGCTTTTTTCCTCCAGAACGTTGAAACCTTCTATCATAAATATTGAAGAGCATGTGTGAAAAGAAGTGCTTGAAGACATTATTACCTGTCTAGTGAAGAATTAAGACTGAAGGGGGGAGACGGGTCCGTACATACGTAACAGAGGAAGTTTGTAGCATGCCGGCCTGCGCTAACCACAGACGGCCTTCCGTCGTAACGCTGATAATCTGACCCTTGCATCACCTGCAGCCGACTGGCGGTCAGGCAAAAAAAGGTTAGCATTGCACGTTTCTGCAAACCACGGCAGTGTTTTTTCCATTCAGTCAGCAAGTTACTTGCCGGTATTTAAAGTTACGTTTTTGGATACAACAGGCGAGAAATCCCACTCAGGGAGCGTTGCTGTGAGAATACTTTCACTCAGGAGACATGTGTCAGTGTGTGTGCTCAGTAGTTCCCCACGGTTCTTAAACTGCGGAAAAATAATATTATTCCAGGTTTCCTTCTTTTCGTGTCGCGTTTAGTGCATTTTTGTGTATGCGACTGCACTCCACTGACTCGCTTGTTATCATGTAACATTTAAACCGTGTCTTTTCCAACGATGGGAGTACGTACCACCTGCTCTGACTGAGAGCTAAACCGTCGACACTCTAGTACATGTTGTGTGCGGAAACATGGTGATATTTCTAGTGCAGACTGCATGGTCTGATTAGAAGAAGGAACACGGCCAGAGTGACCGAAGCGCGTCGTATTTTCACAACCCAAACAATACTGAGAAGTTACATGAACATGGCTACATAAATCGTCCTCATTGTTACTACAAGCAGATATTGTTAAAAAATGAAGAATGTTCATCGTCAGACACCGTTTTGTAGTTATTTGTTTTTTTTACCAAATGCATTTACAGTTGCAAATTAGTGGATGACCTTTGCTTCTAGGAAACAGATATAGAAATACAAATCAACTTGTGGTCCCAACAAAGAGGCGGAGGGTCTCTTGTCCCTCAGTTTGTATCACACATGCACTGAACCAGTCATTTACATATGAACCACTGACCTCCTGCCGCTTCTTCCTTTGTAAGTGTATCTGTGATCACACCACATGTTGGCTTTTTTTTTAACAATCTTAATGTGACGCACCGCTGGTTGGAAGAAGGTTCATGGTGTTGTCTCGGGTTGCATCCCCTTGAATGTTGCTGAACATTGACAAGTTATGTCAAATCCAGTTCGACCTGTGTTAACGATTTTGAGATTCTAATTTTTTAGAATACATGGAAAAAAAATCACATAAAAAAGAACTGAGAAAAATAATTATTATACATGTTGTGTTTAGGAAAATATCCCTTCTTTAATGGCTTTTGAAGTGAAATTAAATTGGGTGTACAGATGCTTAATATATTAAATAACAGAATGTTAGAGTATCTAAAGCCTGTGTGAACCACAGGCCTTATTTCAGGCCAACTAACGAAAAATTCCCTGAATGAAATATTTACTTAGAGACGAGGGAACCGAAGGTGCAAAGTGCTGACTCATATCGTGGTTCTCGGACTCATTCCTGCAGAACCCACTAAAACAACTCTACATATGTTTTATGGTAAGCTTGACAGAGTTCCCTTTTAGAGGGGCCTGTATTATGAGTGTTCCTATGTTAAGGTGCAAAAGCAGCATTTTTCTCACTAAACTGTTCTAGCATTAAACACCAGTGTAAACAATGATCAAACATACAGTTATACATAATATGAACCAAAGAAAGAACTTTTCATTTTTGGACAAATAAAATATGGTTACCCTACTGGACATCATCTTTACTGCAGCAGCATATTATTCCCCAGCTAGCAAGTTACACTAGTAGAATATGAGTTTTTACACACAGCCCAATATCTGTCCTTGCCTGTAGGTGGCGCCACAGGTTGGACCTGGTTTCAATCTGTTAAAGTCTTATGACACGTGTCTTTAACGCTCTTTTACGGTTAAAGGAACATTTTATGGTCTTTCCTCTCTGCTTTGATCAAATCATCAAACATGATGGATTTTGGGCTGAAGAGAGTCAGTCAGACAGAAAGGTAAAAAACAGAAAGACTGATAAAGACTAGTAGCGAGGCAAAAGGCCATGTTTGGGGTATATAGGCGAGTAGGACAAAAATGATAACAAAACGGTAGAAAGAAGAGGGAAACCAAAAACAACAGAGAGGGAATGAAAGAAATCCAAAGAGATGAATAGGCAACGGGTAAAGAAAAGAAAGAGACTCAGCAGTGATGGAATGAGATACAGAAAAGGTAGGTCAAACGAGGCAGACGGAGAAAGACGTAGAGACGAGCGAAAGCAAGACGCGCAGAGAAAGGACGGAGACAAAGGCAGACGGAGCTGAGGAATGAGAGGCAGACAGAGCAACTGTACCAGTGACGATTTGCAATGAGCCCACGTCTGCACCACTCCTCCTCCTCCCATCATGAGCCCCCTCCCCGTCCCCCGACCCCCCCGTCCCTCCATTTTGTCGTCCTCCTCTTTCTGATGCCGTTCCAACACCTCAGGGCTTCAGCCTCACATCCACCACGCTGATGCTCCTCTGCTTGTGCAGCAGCGTAATCACCCAACATGAACAAATAGAATCAACCCAAAATAAAGACAAACCAAAACAAAGACGCCCGCGGTGGAGCTTCGTCTCGTGTGGCTGAACGTACCTCAAACAGCTTAGAGAAGCAGCTGTTTCTCCAGGAGAAACTTGCGCGTTACCATAACTTTGTTTTGAAGCTGCAATTTTGAGGATTTTTATTCCTTAGTCTTTGCATTGGTCGTTGTGGCGCAGGGGTTAGAGAAGGTGTGCTGGGAAGCACAAGGTTGTTGGTTCGATTCCAGGCTGCCCCATGTTCCATGTCGAAGTGTCCCTGAGCAAGACACCTAACCCCTAATTGCTCCCGGGGCAAAAATGTGAAAAAGCCATGGGTTTAAAGTGTAATGTAAGTCGCTTTGGATAAAAGCGTCTGCTAAATGACCTGTAATGTAATGCTGTTGAATTAATCCGGTACGCGTTTTTAATGACTCAAAACCAGTGCATCTACGGTTAATCGTTTTGGTTGGGACTCAAGGTGTTCGATCATCCCCCTCGGGTAGAATCCTGGATTTAATGGCTGGGGGTGTGTTTGATAATATTTAGTTGATATAGTCTCATCTGACCAACAGAAGATTTATACGCGCACATTCGGAGCTTTGGTGGAAAGAGAAAGGTCACTTAATAATAGTTGGGGGAAGCGTCACACCTACTTTCTCGCTTCTGCACACCCGTGTAATCATGGATGTGGGATAGAGGACCCCCCCCCGCCGTCCAAAGAACTCTGAGACTCAATTCAGCATTCCGTTCCGCAACAAAACAAACCGGCATCTGCAGGTGTTTAATAAATGCCCATTTCTTTGCACCTGCTGAATAATGTTTGGATTCCAATATAGACTGATTGTGTAGCAAGAGTGTGTAGCGCTCTTATGTCAACGTCTCATTCGTATCTTCTAGCTACTAGCAATTATACAGGCTACTAGCAGCCATAATAATGATTGGTGTACATGCGAGCGAACAGACCGCAGCATTTATTCAGGAGAAGGAAGCCACTGTCCATTCGTCCGTTACAGTTGGCGAGCTGTGTTTACTCTGCTGCCGTGCTATTAACATGCTGCTTGCCATGAAGTTAATAAAACACAGCCCTTCTCAGCAACAAGTTGGCAGTGTGGTTTCAGGTAGCAGAAATAACGAAATATGATCCATGAAGGCTGGTTTGACTAATAAATCAAATGATTTGGAAAACCATTTATGTAACCTGCAACCTGGCGGGTTGCCCGAGGCGCCGATTCCAGTTTTATTTCGGTGTTTTCTGAAGGATTTATCAGATTGAGCTGTGTGAAATAGCCAGTCAGCGGATGAATCGGTAAATACTGCAGGCAGCCTGTGAGACCAGTGAGCCATCCAGTCGGTCAGTCAGTCAGTCAGTTGTGGCAACAACATAGCGAGATTATCCAGAGCATGTGATGTATGTGTTTACACCTCTCCCGTTCTCCTTGTCTGGCTGTGTTTTTCCCTCCCTCGCTCTCCCCTGGGTCTCTCCCCCGAGGGATTGTTTCTCTCCCAGAGTGCCTCACTGTCTGCATCTCTCGGCCTCCTGCAGTGTGACTCACTCACTCACCTTCTCGGGTGTGTGACTGTGCACTAAACGTCTGGAACCTCCACAGTTTCACACAGCAGAAAAGCATCAGCGTGTGACTCACAACTCATTGATCTGCTAATTCATTCTTTAAATTCTGTAAAGGTGTTACAACCAAGCAGCAGCGTTTAGAGGAGGACGCATTTTTGTCCACAAATCCTGTGAAAAGCCTTGACACGTTTGCTGTGCACAACGTCTACTACCACCTTTAGCATTAAACCAGTCAGTGAGGCAAAAAAGGTTGGGTGCCGTTGCTTTAGAGGGCCTTTGCCAAATTTAGGAAATCAAGCCTGATGACGTGATGAACTTAAAAGATATGATTTTGTAGAGGTATACTGAGGAAGAAGAGTCTGAAAAAAACGTTCCAGTCTTTAAGTTAGATATTACCAACTCGGGGCCGTCCATCTGTGGTTTTGAAACAGCGGGGGATGAAAATTAAACGTCAAGCTCAGAGCGGAATACGTAATGAGGCTTAGAAGCAAGAGCTTTTTATTGCTGCTGTGTTGAGCAAATTCTGCATCTTCAAAAACCTCTTGGGCCGTGTAATTTAAAAAAGTAAAAGCACTGTGTTGCCCGTAGAGGAGACCACGCAGGGCATGGATTTGGGGAGTGTGATTGAATAGGAAACACCATAATCACATTGCATTTCCCTCTGAGATTCTCTATTTTGTTACACTTCAATCCCCATTCAATGCACAGTCTAGACTGGACTAATTGAGTGTCTATGGTGTTGATTCAGGCTATTAACCATCTGCGCTTCTTCCTCTCTCCGCCCCTCTTCTCTTCCCTCATTTCTCTGCAGGACTTTGGAGGACTAGTAGGATGCTGAGTATCTTTCCTCCTCATTACTGTTCTCCAGCGTGCTCTCCATGACCTGAGAGCGCCACCACAGCGGGAGGAACGAAAAACCAGGAAAAGAGAGGCAGAGGAGGGCAGAAGGCCAGGGACGGAAGGAAAGAACACACTTTTTGATTTTGTTGCCAGCAGACTTTTCCTTTTCCGAAATGGCGGCGACAGAGGCTAGCGCGGCGCCGGTGGTCCAGGAAGACGGGAAAATCCCAGAGAGCAACCAGCAAGCAGCTGAGGCCGAGCAGCAGGCTGAGGATGCCAACAACGCAAAGCCAGAGATTGTCAACAGCGAAGTCGTCGATAAAGATGGCGCCGCTGTTACCAGCGAAGTTGTCGATAACAAAGAGACAGTGAATAACGACACAGCGGCGGTGACGGGAGCCGAGGAGGGAGAGGCAGCAGCCGGCGGGGAGGAAGCTTCTCCTCCGAGTTTGGAAAACGCCTCCTCTACTGAGCCCAAGACCTCGTTCTTGGGCTCCTTCCTCAACAAGAGCGGCCTGGGAAAGGTGATGGGAGGAAGGAAGAAGAAAGACCAAAGCACAGCTGCTGGAGGAGGAGGAGAGGAGAATGCAACCGAAGCAGGGGAGAAAGAGGGGGAGAAAGGAGGTGAGGAGGGTGCAGCAGCTGAGGGCGGAGCAGAGGGAGGGGCAGAAGGAGATGCAGCGATAGAGAAAGCTCCAGAAAACGGAGAGAAGGAGGAAGAGAAGAAAGCAGAGAAGGGCAAACCGACGGAGGCCAAGTCCACAGTTCGAGACTTAATCCGGAAGCCGGTGGCGAGAATTTTCTCCCACCGCAGCACTGAGAAGAAGGACGGCGCAGAACCCCAGAAACAAGTCAAGGTGCGATCCAAGTCCCTGGACCGGCTGGAAGATCCGGAGGCACTCAACGCCACTGCAGACTCCGCCGTTGAGGAGGGAGCAGCAGCGGGAGGAGCAGAGGGAGGAGCAGAGGGAGGTGCAGAAGGAGGCGCAGAGGGAGAGCAGAAAGCATCGTCCTCCTCGGCAGCCACCAAGCACATGAAACGCTGGCACTCCTTCAAGAAGCTCATGGCTCAGAAGGCCCACAAGAAGAGCGGAGGAGGCGTGGAGGATGTTAAGGAGGAGGCAGCTGAAGGAGGAGAGGGAGGCGGAGACTCCTCCACGCTGGACTCCAAGGAGTCGGGACAAAAGAGGTGGAAGCTGAAACGCTCCTGGACTTTCCAGGGCCTGAAGAGGGACACGTCCATGGTCGGCATCAGCGGCAAGGCCAAGGGTTCCGACAAAGACTCTGCGGACAACGCAAAGCCAGAAGAGGCGGCGGAAGGAGAAGAAGGAGGAGAGGAGGCTAATGCAGAGGGAGGAGCAGAGGAGGTTAAGACAGAGGAAGGGGAGGAAAAGGCAGAGGGAGGAGAGGAGGAAAAGGCAACAGCGGCGGGAGGTGTGACGGTGACGCAACACGCCAACGAGATCTGGACCTCCTTCAAGAAGCGCGTCATCCCCAAGTCCAAACGCGCCAACACTGAGTGCGCCCCCTCTGGGGAGGAGGAGGCGACTACAGCTGCCGCCACAGGTTAGATGACACAAGTTGTTACCTTGTACCAAAACCATTGTACTCAAACCCCATTTCAGACATCTTTGGGTTGTAAGCAGATTCGCCAAAGACATTATTCTCCTCTAAACCTCTCAGAGTTCATTAAAAAGGACCCGTTTGAGGCCCAAATGGTATAAATTATCTAATAAATCTCAAATTAATCTACAGATCAGTGTGTAGCTAACCTTTACACCATAAATGGTCTCAAGACAACACTTATTGTTTATTATTATTATTATATTAACACCATTCAAACATTGGAAGTCTGACACCGCACAGGGAGCACGGACAGCAGTTAGTGGTTTGCTGACTATGGGGGGGTAATTAACAATGTCATTTTAACATTTTATATTAAATTCTAGTCACTGGCTTCAGTCAACAGTACAAACTGCAAATAGAAAAATGTACAGAAGTAGAACTTCATCAACAACCCAAACACTCAGGCACACACACACACACACACACTGCAGGCTAAAGGTGAGATAATATGTACTTATTTTAGATGGAAAAACTAATGTTTTATACTGTTTATTTATTATAATGTAATTAATTGAAAACAACGAAGCTAGGACCCATTCGGGGTGGCCGGCCTTGAATGTTCCCACATCATCAAAGTTTGGGAATCGCTGCCATAGGAAATGTGAGGCAGGAAATGAACAAATGAGGTGCTTCAAAGTTCAAACCACAGAGTTGGTGTATTGCAAATTATTATTCTGATTTCTGCCTGATTTTTTTCTTTTAAATACTTTTTGGCTGGTGAGGAAGAGGGTAGCTAAAAGTGGGGTACATTTGTATTCATCAGTTGATCTTCATCCATACCAATGTAATAAGCACATGACAGGTGTCCCTATATCTAGATTTATTTCTTCCCCCCTTAGTGGCCAAAAGTTAATTAGGCAGTCTTAAACGTAGTTACCAGTATGCTAATCAGTATGCTTGTTAGAAACCATAAACTCACTTAATCATTTGTGATTGACCATTAGGCTGATATTTCCCAGGTGATCAATGAAAACCTCATTAGTTGTAAGCGAGCTTTGACCCTGAACTATCTTCTCCCCAGCAGGTGAGGACGGAGCAGCAGAAGAAGGCAAGTCAGCCAAGGCCAAGCGCTCACATTTTGGCCGCGCTGTTTCCCTGAAGAACTTCATCCTGCGAAAGGGCAAGTCCACAAGTGTGGACATGGGTGAGGGCGCCAAGGAGGACGAGGAGGGGGAGGCCGCGGAGGGAGGAGAGGGAGATGAGGCGGCGGAGAAAGGAGCTGCTGATGGTGAAGCTGACCCAGTGGCCCAGGAGACCACTGACAACGATGCAGGGGAGCAGAAGACGCCGGCGGCGGAGACCGACGGGGAAGCGCCAAAGGAGGTGGAGAAGCTGCCAGCTGAAGCCCCGGTGACCAACGGCGACAACGGCTGCTCCAACGGCACAGGGGAAGAAAACGCCGAACACAATCACCAGGAGGACGAGAAGAAGACGGCGGACAGCCCTGTGAAGAAGAGCAAAGAGGCAGCGAAAGAGGAGACCAACGCCAAGATCATCAATGCCACAGCCGTGAACAGCGGTGAGTTAGAGCACGCCGAGCGGGACGCTGATGAGACACAAAACAACAGCAGCAGCTGCAAAGAAGGAGATACTAACAACAGACAACAACCACAAGCAGCAGCACTAACAAACGGTACCAGTAAACAAACCAAAAGCAGCGGTCAAGAGCCTGAGCTAGCACTAGCCGTTAGCAGGGAGGAGGAGGACCAGGGGGAAGGGGGGGAGGCGGAGTCTCCAAAAAACGGAGGTGTCCACGATGGCGCAGATTCGGGTGACCAGGGAGAGAGGCAGGGGGAGGAAGATGAGGAGGAGATGAGGAAGAGGGATCTGCGAGAGGCAGCGGTGGCCATTGTTGAGAACGCGATGTCGGCCGCAGCCGACCAGTTAGAGAGGGAGCTGAGCGTGGACAACGGCCTCAACGGGTGCTACGACGGCAACATCAATCACACATAGTAACGCCAACGCACACGCTATCTCACGTATGTGGAAGCACACTGTTCATGTCAATACTTGAATTGTAGCAAATGTAAAAGTCACACACATGAGCATGGGTTAGTATGCACATACACCCACGTGTTATAGGGAAACACACTTATACACTTGTTTCACAAATATCAATTGTATGTCTGTGGTTAAATAGAAGTGCGAGGAAAGGATGTGGTAAGCCTAGCATACTCGGAGACTGGCTCCGTCCAAAGTAATATAAAAATACAAATTCCAACATCTCTTAAGCTCACTAAAGCCCCTTAACAATTGCTCAAACCTTCCACAGGGGCTAGGAACCTTTTAACCTCCAGTCGAGAGCCTGTATTCTGTTATGAGATCATTTCAATGTCGCATTACGATAAAAGTCAAGTCAGACTTTTCTGTCGGAGAATCCTAAAAAAAATTTAAAAACATGGAAAACATAAATAGACTGCATGGTGGTGCTGTGGATGAGAGGGAGGTTATTTACTTTCTATTGCACAAATACATAACTAATAAACACCCAAATAATGATCTTTTGTGGAGAAAGATATTATATTATAACATATATATATAACATTATATCAGTAAATACTATGAAGGAAGACGGCCCAGTGTTCTTTGCCTTGATATTGTCAGTTCTTAAGTCTGTTACTCAAAGAAAACCTTTTGGTCCGAGGTGCCAGAAGTAAAGTAACCTGGAAGTTCTCAGTGGACATGTGGCTTAGTCATCTTTATGGACGTTGGTGGGGGTATTATTTTAAAATTTGGAGAGCCAGGCTAGCTAGCTGGCTTGTGCTAAGCTAGGCTAACCACATCCTTACTTTAGCTCCAAAGGGTATTTCCTGAAATAATGAACTGTATTTTAGCCACACATAAGTAAAGCCTCTTTAGGTGCAGAACAACATCACTTGGGGGATTGTATTATGCAACAATGCAGCGGTTCACCACGAAATTTGTTTGAATCAAATTGTACGTGATAAATAAGTCTTTGTTCACCTGTAAATGTCCAGCGCGCATTTGATAGATGAGAGAAAGAGATTTGGTAAAGACAGAGAAGCATCCCTTTTACTCTATCAACTACTAATGTCATTATATATTACGTCAAGTTCATGGACAGTCTACAATCTAAATTATTGAGGTCATAACTGGGTGGTGAGTGAGAATTGTCGCCTGCGAACATCCATTTTGGTTTGATTCTCCACTTTTATGTGGTGCAGCCAGGATCTAGAGCTATTAATTTGATTTAGCGTTGGTGTAAGGGAATACCAGGATCGAGTACCAGAGACGCTTCACTTCTCGTTTTACCGCTCGACGCACTCCCACCTGGGAGCGAGGAGGTGAAGTGAACCAGAAGTTGCTGTTACCCCCTCCATTATTTATCAGTCCCTGCCTCCCTTTCCATTCAAGTGCAGTGTAAGGCTCCATGTCCAGCTGCCCCCTCGCTTTGATCTCATGCCGTCCACGGATGTTTGTGGAGAGCCCCGCGTCTCTCTGAAGACTGAACTCCACCACCTAGCGTTTGGCTCTGTCTTCTAAGTGATTTGCGAAATTGGGTGATTTGTGATATCTGCCCCATGTCTCAAGTGTCCCTGAGCAAGACACCCAACCCCTAATTGCTCCCCGGGCAAAATGTAAAAAAGCCATGGGTTTAAAGTGTAATGTAAGTCGCTTTGGATAAAAGCATCAGCTAAATGACCTGTAATGTAATGTAGACGGCTAGAAGGGTCAAATAAACATGGACTTCATATCCAACACTGACACTTGACAAGCAAAAAACAAATTCTACACCAGCTATTTATTTGTCTTCTGACGAGACATTTTATACATATATTTAATCTATTTGTTAGAGGGTAAACAATACAGTGTGATTACAATTTAGTATTAGTCCCCTCAATTTGGGTGAGATCATCTTAAACAACAGACTTTGGCTGGTTTAAGGTTCAGCCATTTTTGCTTGCTTTTTCTGCCACATTTCTTAATTATTTCTTTATTAAGCACCGTGTTATCTTTATTGGAGTTTTTAAATCAAGTGATTTAAAAGTATGTCACCTCAAACTAATTTTTTTACGTATGCATATTTACAGAAGTGATTGTTCTTCCACAGTATGGCAGAGAATAGTGCTTATTGGCCCATGCACCATCCATTTTGGGTGGAAATTATTTAACAATAAAAAATGACGTCATACAATTTTGTATGGTTGTATATATATTTTCTTCTTTAAGTCAAATGAAGGACTTCCAAGCGATGCTGATAGTCTTGACAGAAACTATTGCTCACCCATTTCAGTTGTAAGAGATCTGAATGAGTACGTTTTCTTTCAAGTCGTCTTCCATGTTTACGCTGACTGAACGCTGGCAGCAGCAACACCCAAATAATAATTGTCTCAGGAAATGCTTTACAGGAATAACCTGCTTACAATTTTACCTCAAATGTTTAAAATTTGCAATGAGCAAAATTATGCTGCTTATTTACCATGTTTACCATATTATTTTATACAACATGACCGTTCTGCTAACCACAATCAAGAAGTTTAGTTTCCCAAACCAAACCAATTGTGCAACCATGAACGTAGCCCATGCATTGCAGAAACTGGCGGCTTTAACTAGCGTAGCTTAGATAGTTAGTTCTTTGTCTGCAGTGGAAGCAAAAAGCTGGTTTAGCAGACATCAATAGAGTTGAGTCAGTCAACGGATTAGTGGGCCAAATCAGTGTCGCGGAGCCTCTTCAACAAGCCAGATTAACTAGGTCCTTCACCCCCCTCCCTTTCCCTCTGGGAAGAAGCAACAGAAACACAGAAATGTACATTACATGTTATTTAGCTGACGCTTTTATCCAAAGCGACTTACATTTTTAACGCATGGTTTTACATTTGCCCGGGGAGCAGTAAGGGGTCAGGTGTCTTGCTTGTCCCCCAGACGATAAGCAACGGTCAGGTCATTTCTCAAGAGTCTTTGAGGGAAAATGGGAGACTGCGTCTTCCTGCTGGTTATCAAACAATGATGATGATGATCCTTCATTATAACTATTTGTTGTTGTTGTTGTTGCTTGCTTTGTGTACATCCTTAAGAGAAAATAACTAACCCAACACTAGGCCAACATCTGTACTAAACCACTAAAAGCACATACAACATATAACCCTTTTTTATGTGACTGTTTATTATTATTATCCTTTTTTCAAGACCTATTTTTTAATACATTTTTCAATCTCTTCTGTTATCATTTACCAGACAAAAAGGCGGGAAACGTGTGAGGCCACACAAAGAGGATTAGAACTGCCCGGGATTCGCTGAGCAAGGAGCTCTGAGCCCCCCGCCCCCCGCCCCCTCAACTCCTTCTCCTTCCTTCCCCTCCTCCTCCTCGCTCCCTTCATCCCTCCTTCTTCCTACCAAATAAACGGAGTAATCACGTGTCACCAGACCACCATGGTGAGAAAGAGAGAAAGAGAGAGATTGAGAGAATGAGAAAGATGCAATTTATGTAGATGACGAGTGAAAATAATAATGACTCAGAGAGCAATAATTCAAGCCCTTCTTTTCATCCCTCCATTCATCGTTTCATCCATCCCGTCCATCCGATACATGCAAACCTACATACATACAAACAAACATGTACATTCAGTGTTTTTATTCTTTTCTTTGCTTTTTGTGAGATTTTATATTGTCTACGAGAGAAAAGAAAAAAGCAGAAATGTAAAAAAAGAAAAAGAAATCGAGCCCCCCCCACTGCCCTATTTTCCGACTCTGCAAGCTACTTAACTCTGCTCTCTGTCTCTACCAAATCCTGATTGGTGGATTTAAAGAACAAAAAAAGGAAAAAAAGAAGACTAGTTTTGTATTGACGGCCATTTTGGTTTGTAGTCCCCCTCCGAACCCCTCTCCCCCCCCCCCCCCCCCCCCCCCATATGCCCCACTAGATATTTGACAGTACAGCAGGACCATGTTGCTACAGTATATAAACTGCCCTGAGGACTGCCACTTCCCAACCAACACTGAAATGTCTTCAGCTCTGTGTGTTCAATGTTTTTAGACTGTTAAAAATTGTGTAAATGAATTAAAAAAGACAAAAAATACACCATCAAATATTCAAGTCAAAATGTTTTTTTCCTGTTTTGTTTGAATTCTCTTTATTCTCTTTTTTATTTTTTAAAAACACTCACTGTTTTCGAAGTCTGGCAATATGCTGTAATTAAAAAAGATAATAATAATGATGATGTTTTGTTGATTAAAGTTTTCACATGTCCGCTAGCAAATTGTCAAGAAAAAAAATAGTACAATAAAGATTAAAATCTAACAACTAAATTGCAAGTCATTGTGGGGTCTTCTATTTTTATCCGCATAATTGAAGTGTGTGCCGATGGCTTGGTTGGAGGGACCGGGCAAAGTGGGGGATGTTCATTAATCAGTGTATCGATAATCTAACCTAACGTAATAGGCGTAATAATACAGGATTTCCTTGTATTAAAGTAGATCTGCATGTGTCATCTGGCAGCAGGCTGCTGGTGTCTCTGATAGACAGGCGTGGACGTCCATATGCCGGCACTCCACTGTATTTTCTCACATTCAGAAAAAGGCCATCAGCCTTTTAATTACGCACATTTTAGAAGGTTTAATAGTTAATTACCACAGGGATTTAAGTAGACGATAAAGAACCTGCAGCTAAGGTTAAACACTATTCACTGTCTGGCAGAATGTATGTAGGCAGCCTTGAAGACATACTTGGTGCACTGGGGCTGTTCATCATGGTTTGATCAAGGCTTCCGCATACGTAGAATTTTACTCTCAAGGATGAACAAGAAAGAGATAAAACAAGGACAACAAGAAAAAGAAAAACAGGTGTAAGTCTAAACAACACAACGACGGCTGTACAATTCAAATATAAACATATCCAAGAATATATGTACAGATATATGAGCACAGTGATGAACTAATTAATTTCCAACCCAGGCCCAAAGCAAAGTCATTTGTTTCATATCTGAAAACTGTTCCAAATGATTTGAAGATTGATTCATAGCATATGCCATATGTATAGTGCACAGCTACTTTTTGTTGTATTTCTTAATGGTATTTGATCATTTACAAATCCGAGATTTGCCTGAAAGGGCCTTACAATCGGTACTGTGACACCAACATGGGAAAAGGAAAAAGGCCCAAAGCCTTAAGGAAGAAACCGGAGGGAGAGTCACAGATAAGGGGTGGAATAGATTGTTGGTTTACAGAATGACCAATATATTGAAATCCAATAATAATAATAATAAAAATAGAGCTGAACCAATTAATGTTAGCAAATGTTTACTAATAAAGATAGCTGCAGCATTGGATATAATATATACAAACAGAAACAGCAATAGTGATAGAAATGTAACAAATGCTAGAGTGCTAGTCTCGGGATGAAGGGATTGTCATTACATTTGTTTGGTTAACTTTGTTCAACTTCCTGTTGGCACGCATTTGGAAAATGCCCTTCCTGTACAATCATGGTCCCATGTTTTACTTCTCTGAAACTTAAAGTTTTCTCTACAGACACCATGGTAGTGTAACACCCAGACTGGGGCATAAGGTCACATGTTGTTTTCTGTTGTGTTTCTGTCACTCACCTTTCCCTCTCGTTTCAGACACCTCCTCCCTGTGTGCCACCGCCCTCTGTGATTGCAAGCCCCGCCCTTATTGTTTCCACCTGTGTCTCGTTCTGATGTGTATTTACTTTGTGCCAACAGCTTGTTCTGTGCCAGTTTGTCTCTTTGTTCCCAATGAGTTTACCCGCAATTCTCCTGAGAGCGCCTTCCCGTGTTTTGACCCTTTTCCGTCCCTCCGTCAACCTTTGCCTGCCGATTTGAATTGATCCACCTTCTCTGTCTGACTACCCGTGTACCGAACCCCTGCCTGAAGTAAAGACTATTTTTGCCTCTGACTACTACGCCTTGAGTCTGCTTTTGAGTCTAAACCCTTGTGGCCCCAGCGGCGTAACAGGTAGGTTGCGGGATGGAGATTGGTTACCTGACTGGGACGGGTTCCTTTGTAGAGAATTCTTGAGTCTGGCTCTGCCCTCAAAGGTCTTTTTTCCGTTAAGCCGCCCTGCTCTTGCTGGAAGGAAAGTTCCCTTGTGTCACTAGCTTGACAAAGGGGCTTTGACTTATGTTTGTAAAAAATGAATAGCTTTTTTCCTTTTTTTTTAAAAAATTTTTTTAAATCAGCCAGCTCATTTGTCTCCCAGTTTGCTTTCAGTTCTTAGCTGGGCTAGAGAGTGCATTGGGGGGACTCTCTAACATGTTCAGTCTAAGAAAATTGTTAACTTTCCTTATATTATTCAAATTGGGTCATATGTACAGTGTTGGTGTTTATTTCATTTATTTATAGGTTATTATGTAGTTCAATTTAGAATTTGTTGACATTCTCTATATACTGTAGAATTACCAGAGAGTAGGACAAGTACAAAGTACTTTTATTCAACGCTACGATTAACAATAAGATAATTTAAAATACAAAATAATTACTAGCACAACGACAAGTAGCAATAAGTTGCGCAGCATGAAACAATTGCAGTAGTGCAGTAGAAAAATACGCAATGAAAGACTTTAAATGGATCTGTTCTATAAAAAGGTAAACCATACACATTTCCTTGTCCTTTCTTCCAACTCTATCTACTTCATTTTCCTCACTGTCAGCGTCCATTAGAGGGTCCACGGGCCACATGTTGAAACCCACAGCCGCCATAGTAACACATGTCTAGCAGTCTGTGAAGTGTGTGAAGACAATAATTCCCTACTGTCAGTTGAAATAGGCAGCATACTGTCTTGCTGTCAGGCCAAATCTCTGGGATTATGTTATTACAGCCGTAAAGCCAGAGCACAGTAGCGCTACACACACAGGAAAACTGATAATAAAAACGGTTTAATGGGTGATATTTGTGTGGGAGGGTAAATGAACATTGAGGAAATCCAGACTAACAGAGCTTCCTCACAGAAGTAAAAGCAGCTTTGAATGGAAGACTGAGAACCTGTCGGGCCACTGAATATGTCTTAGCGGTCACTCGCATTTTTAGACAGGTCCTTCAATGGGTTACACACAGACACACACACAAAACAGAACAGATGGATCACATGTCAGGATTATACCATAAAGACACCAGCTGCTAAAAATATACACTCACACGATTTGTGCTTGGCTGACACCACTCATCTGTACGCTTCCATTGAATTACATCATCAGATTTAAATATGTGAAGTGATTAGTAAAGTAGTGGAGCTGCTATTATTAGAGCATATTATTCAGGCTCTAGTTTAAGCACCTCTTAGGCAGAGATGATGTTAGAGTTCAGCACAGTGGAACGGTAAATACATAGCAGAACAGAAAAGTTGATGCAGATACTCTTTTCTGCATCTCTCATACTCTCTGGGTAGCTTTCAATCAACACACAAAGTACGACAATAGATTTTCCAGCACGTTGTGCAGCCAAAATGTGAAACCTATTGAAATTTTACCCCAAAATTCCTGTGGGAATTTACATTTGACCGGACCGAGTCGGTATGGTCATATATCACAGTGGCTTCAACACATCTCAATCAATCTGATGGTTCCCAATGACTTCATATCCTTGGTTTTGGTTTTAATTTGTGTTTTTGGAAAAAGCTAATAGTAGGTCCCTGTGGACCGATATGATAGCAGGATGTATATAATGTAAACCATGGGGTTGAATTTATAACTGGACTAGCAAATGCATTTTCTGCAGAAAATACATTGGAATGTGGAAAGCTAAAAGCTAAAATGAATTATAAATTGTTGAAAAAACAGAAGTGAGAAAAGTTTTTACTTCTGTTCTTCAAAGAATATATAAAATATCAAAGAATTGCCGAAAATACAGACATGATACTATTAGTCATAGTAGTATGTGTAGTAAAATTAGTGATAGTTGTAGTATTAATAGCAACATAAATACTAGTACTTTTTGTTATAGTAGTGTGACCCAGTAATATTCTACGCACAAGAGCCAGAATAAACTGGAGCCAGAGACTACTATTGTCACAACCGGACAGTAGCCCTGAACCCAAATTCACAACTCCGGAGACGAGGTTTGAAATCAAAGTTTATTAACAAAAAGGCAGTAACTGAAAATCATTCTTGGTAGAGGAAAAATTCTCTATGCTAATCTAAGAACAAAAGATCAAAAAAAGAAATGGGGAGAAGCTGAAATTAATTTTTATTTTTTGTAGTAATATAAGTAGTAGTATTAGTTATAGTTGTAATTCTGGTACTAGTTGTACTGGCAGTAGAATAAGTAATAGTAGTTTTAGTATCAATAACAGTAGTAAAACTAGAAGTGGTTTTGGGCGACTGTGGGTGAGTGGGGGAGCACGGTCGTCCTCCAATCAGAGGGTTGTCGGTTCGATCCCAGGCTCTGCTAACCCGCATGTCGATGTGTCCTTGGGGAAGACACTTAACCCAACATTGCTCCTGTAGCTGCGACTACAGTGTGTGAATGTTAGGTACTGATGTGCAGGTGTCACTGTGTATGGTTCTCATGTCATCAGTGTATGAATGCACTGTAACAAATTTCTGTAAATTTACGGTGCATTTCTAACGGTATCTTACAGTATGTCATAATAACAGTAACATAGTTAAATTTCCATCCCTTGCTTTTAAATTAACGGCCAATGTCATGAATAAACAGTTAAAGCTGTCAATTTACAATAATAGCAGACTACCGTAATTCAACTGCATGTTACATATATTTTATGAAGTGGTGGAACTACACATACAAGTGCAGTGAATCACAATCCATCTACATCTGTTGTAGGTTAATGTATGGAAGCCCATGTCAGCCACTGAAAGACAGGTCCTGTAAGTCACCATAATGAGATAGTATCTCATGAGATACGATGATGACTTTGACTTACAGGACATTACTATACATGCAGTTGTCACTTTTATCCAAAACAGCCATGGTTTGACATAATTTTATGTGGAGTAATTGGGGGTTAGGTGTCTTGCTCAGTGACACTTCAACTTGGCATAGGGAGCAGCCAGGATTCGAACTGCCAACCTTGTGCTGCACAGCACACCCTCCCTATCCCATGCGCCGCCTTCGCTGTCGTTTCAGTGGTTGGAATGTAAAGATGATAAATATTTGTATTATTCAAAGTGTTCATTGCCTAAAAGTAATTTGAGTGTTAATCGTGACTGACTGCTCCTGAACGTGACGTCAGACGGGTAATCTCAGTTCATCCAGAACACCTGTGCAGTTCTACATCGGAGGAGTTTCTCATTGCCTCGTCTCTCCAAGTAACGTTGGTAAGTGTTATTTACCTAGCATGATTAACATTCTCCTTCCTTACATCTTGTTGTCTTCCTCAACTTTGTAATTTTAATATTTAACCAATGACAGTGTTTCTAAATATTTCATTTTGGTTTGTTTTACAGAGGCACTGGATTAAGGACGCCATTCGTTTGCTGCGGTCAATTGAAAGTGTTCCATAGCGTATTGTTGCAGTAAGTTTACCTTGTTCCTAATGATATTATGATTCTTTTTTTTTTTTATTGTATACATGCGGCATATTTTATGTTTTGTTCTTGGTTACAAATGCCTAACATGTTTGTCCTAAATGTATCTAATAAACTCCAACCACTATGACCAAAATGAGTTTGGTTGTCTTTCTTTAATTTGTGGGGAATTAAATGCAAAAGTATACGGTTATAAGTAAACAGTAACATTTTGTTACACAAAAACAGTAATCGTATGGTAACAAACTGTAATCCAATATACGACAACATATCGTAAATAACGGTAGGGCACTGTAAATAAAACAGTAAGTTACTAGCGTCGACTGGCAGTAAATTATAGTTAATTCACAGTCAAATTCGTTCAACTTTACAGTAACATACAGTAATCCATTTTACGGTAACATAGTGTAAAAACATTTACGGTATTATACTGTAAAATAACGGTAAATTCCTGGCGTCCTAGCTGCCAGTAAAATACCGTTAATTTACGGTGAAATTGTGTGTGTGAGTGTGGGTGTTAATGGGCGAATGATGTCATGTAGTGTTAAAGCGCTTTGAGTGGTCAGAAGACTAGAAAAGCGCTATACAAGTACAGTCCATTTACCATTTAGTGTTAGTAGTAGTACTAGTATAATCAGCTGTAGTATTAATACTATTAGTCATAGTAGTATTTGTAGTAACAGTAGTAGTTGTAGTATTAATAGTAGTAGAAATACTATTATTGATAGTAATAGTATTTTCATTGGTAGTAGTACTACTAGTAGTACTAATATTAGTAGTAGTTGAAGTATTAAAAGCAGTATAAAAACTAATAGTTTTTTTTTATAGAATCCACACCTCAAACAAGTGTCTTCTAATGCAAAACTATAAAGATTATCTAAAAAATAAGGTGATTTTGAGGGACCCAAGACTCTACTGAATGTGTCCATGTAGTTTATATATGTCTGTCCGGTAATAAATACGGCTATAGCGGCAGTTTACAAAACATGTACCTCCTGTTTTTTTTGAGAAATATGTCACCAGATTTGTATTGGAGCCTATGGGGCTTGAGACAGACTTTGTCTCACTCTTCGGCTACTCGGGCCAAAAGTAAATGTCTGTGTGATTCCATACTCACATGAGTCCAACCAGAAACATTTTAAATGCTGAAGAATTCCAATACTCTAGAACAATAATAGAACAATACTTGTAATGCTTTAACGCATTCCAACTATAAAGATTAGAAGAACAATACTTGGAATGCATTCCAACAATAATAACTTGAATAAAGATTTGAAGAACAATACTTGGAATACTTTAACGCATTCCAACAACAAGCCTGCATAAAGACAAGACGTTAAAGTTCATCTAAAACATGAAGTTATGAATCTAAACTCTACCCTCAAACAAACATTACTGGTGAACAAACAACAGTCTGACATAATGGGCGGTGCGAGTCACATCCGGGTATTATGACCGTTCTCAGCGAGATGTGGACTTTAGGAGAAACAGTACTTCAAGTTCCGTATGTAGTAATTGAGGCTCGTAGTACTCCGTGATGACATCATTCCGCTTTGCATTATATACATAATTACTTCCCACCATTAATGTCATCGTGAACGAAACTCCGATGTGGTGACGTGCGGAAGGAGACACTTTCCCTAGCAGCTCGATTAATGTGCTCGATGGTGAGAGATGAGAGAGAGAGATGGTGATCATTTATATATATTCATATGTGTGTGTGTGTGTGTGTGTGTGTGTGTGTGTGTGTGTGTGTGTATGCATATAATTCCATAGAAAGTATAAAATGACTTGATAACACAAAACAAAAATAAAAATATCCAAAGAACAAGAAGAGAAAATTATGCTGAAAATATTAATACATCTTTTCTTGACTTTTCTGCAGCTTATTTTCACAGTACTGGTGTTTTTTCCCCCTTGAGGGGTTGCTGGAGAAATTACATTTTACTCTATGTAATCAGGCTTCTTTATGGCTGTTCTTATCCACAATCATTTGCACAGCAGATATATGAGCCAGAGGGTTCAAGCTGCCATGTGATGAGGAAGTAGAATACTGCACGTAACAACATGTACTTTGTGAGGAAGCTGCCGTTTGCATAAAGGTAAATGATTTGGCACGCAGCTTCAGACTGATACGTGGGTAAGTTGTACCGCCACAACAGGTTCAACCAGATCAACCACAAAGGTTTCTGCTTCATCACGTGTTCCCTACTAGTCTACATTGAGAAGACCAGGTGACAAAGAGGGCGGGTCCTCTAAACTATCTGGTCCAAACTAGAGCATCCAGTCTGTTGTCAGAGCAACTCTTTAGAGGTAAAGGGCTGTTCCACAGATGCTGGTTTTGATCCTGAAAGACTCTTGTTTGAGCAGTGAGAAGGATTCTGTTCACAAGGACCTTTGACCCAGTGAACACAGCTCAAACTGACACTCAGTTGACCAGTCAGACTGTGGACTTTGATGGTGACATGAGGACACACCCTCTCTGACGAAGGACAACAACCTGCGTCACTTCACTCCGTCTGATGGAAGCTGAATTGAAGCACGGAGGTCCTTTTCTACATGGACCTGCTGAGGACAGAAGAGAGCTGCACACTGAGGAAGATCATGTCTACAACCTCAGTAAGTGGAGCTGTGATTGGTTGATCTACATCATTGATGGTTGTGAACGTGTGATTGTTTAAAGCTAGGAAACAAGATGGCGCCTGTGTGAGCAGGCAGAGAGAAGCTGCTGTTAGTCTGAATGATGACACTGTGATGAAGAAGAGGAGCTCAGTCTGATCTGGGCTCTGTGAGGACTGTTACTGATGAGGAGGGGAAGGTAGCAGTCGGAGGGGCACTAGGACCCAGCTGGGACCAGAGAGCTCACCTGAGCCTTTGTTCCTGCACTGAAACGCACCAGAGAGACGCTCTGTTTGCTCTCACCTGTCACCTGATTCAGTCCTTTAAGTCCACAAAGCTTTATGTTCATTTCTTAATCTGCTATAAACACATTTAGTTACTTTGTGAGTGTTTGAATGTGTTTGTATTTTCTTTAGTGTTCAGTCTTTCTCTCTTTGATCACCAGTGTAAGAGCCTTAATAAGATGTGTTTATTGTCTTATAAAAAGTGTCATAGCTCCTTTCAGTTTCATTGCTGATGACGTCATAGCCTATGTTCTCCAGTCGAGGTTCATCAGTCTGCAGAGCAATACAGTTTTTTAACCGTTGTGCCAAGTCGAGCACTAAATGTTTCTTGTAACTAAGTTTTTGTGAAGTAAATCTTTTTAAAACTAAGTTGCTGTCTATGAAGAATCATTACGCGTCAAGCTCACGGCCCAAACGCAGACTGTGACTGTAGTGGTAATAACATCAACGGGGACGGAATTAAGATGGCCGCTATAACCAGGCTCTAGCCGAACAGCTGCTACGACTCAGTTGAGAAGAAAAACAGCTTATAGATTCCTCACTGCACATACAATAAGATGCGAATGAGCAATTATTTCCACTAGTTCAATGTGTGGTAAAGCTGACCAGAAAATTTGACGGATAACATGCAGGAATGCCAAAGTCCACAGAGAACGAGTTCACATATATACTGATTCGTATTTGAGGTCTTATATATTTCAATTGTAGGAGAGGAGGAGTATAAGAGGAGAGTTGATTAAAGATAGCACGTTCAAGGGTTTTGGACAAAAAGGGAAGAAGAGAGACCGGTCTGTAGTTGTTTTCTTCAGAAGGGTTGAGGGTGGGTTTCTTCAGGAGAGGGTTGACTCTTGCCTCCTTCAGAGAATTGGGAAAACAGCCAGATGACAGAGCGTTGTTGATGAGAAAGGTGAGGAACGGAAGAAGGTCAGGTGCGATAGATTGTAGAAGATGTGATGGAATGGGGTCAAGAGGGCAGGTGGTCGGACGGGCAGAGGTTACTAGGGTAAGAATTTGGTTAGGAGAGAGGGCGGTGAAAGAGGAAAGTGAGGGCGAAAGAGGTGACGTCAGTGGGACGCGAGAAGTAGGAGGTGGGTTTGAGAAGGAGGAACGTATGTCAGCTATTTTCTTGGTGAAGTAGTTGACAAAGTCTCCCGGAAGAAGGGGGGAGGTGGGAGGAGGGGTAGGGGGTTCAAGGAGATTGGAGAAGATCGAGAAGAGTTTTTTGGGGTTAGAGAATGAGGATTCGATTTTGGATTGGTAGAAAGAGGTTTTGGCAGCAGAGATAGAAGCAGAAAACGAGGAGAGGAGAGATTGAAATTCAAGCAGGTCGTCAGGTCGTTTATATTTACGCCATCTCCTTTCCGATGCTCGCATGGTGGCTCTCATGGCACGGACCGGTTGAGACAGCCACGGAGCCGGAGGGGATTTGCCAGTCCGTCGTGTCGTAAGAGGCCAGAGAGAGTCTAGAGAGGAGGAAAGAGTTGAGAGGAGAGTCTCTGCAGCAGCGTTCGGATGCAAGAGTGAGAAGGAGTCAGTTGAAGGGAGAGCTGATAGAACAGAGGATGCCAGCGAGGAGGGAGAGAGGGAGCGAATATTGCGATGAGCTGGTATAGAGTTAGTCAATGAGGGAGGTTTGTTAGTTATAGAGAGTGGAAGGGAGTAAGAGATGAAGAAGTGATCAGACACATGAAGTGGAGTTACAGAGAGGTTAGTGGTAGAGCAGTTTCTAGTAAAGATGTAGTCAAGGTGATTGCCGGCTTTGTGAGTAGGAGGAGAGGGACTGAGTGACAGAGCGAAGGAAGAAAGTAGGTGTAAGAGGTCAGATGACTTCTCTGTCTGGATGTTGAAGTCACCCAGGAGGATGAGCGGAGGTCCATTTTCGGGGAAATTAGACAGGAGAATGTCCAGTTCTTCCAAGAAATGACCTAAGGAGCCTGGCGGACGGTAGAGGACAATGATGGTTAATTGTACCGGGTGAGTGATTGTTACAGCATGGAATTCAAAGGACAATGGGGTGGATGGTGGTAGAGGGTAGAGAGAAAAGCTCCATTTGGGTGAAATGAGTAGACCTGTGCCACCACCCCTACCAGTGGGCCTGGGAGTGTGGCTGAAGGAGAAGGCGGAGGAGAGAGCGGAGAGAGGAGAGAGATACATCTTGCTACTGTTTGTTTTTTAAATGCAGAGTAGTAATTGTTCTCTAGATTGATATTTATTTGGGTGTCTTTAAAAAGGACAGATGCAGGTGGACATCCTCAACATTTTAGAGCATCTGCAGGATGAGGACTTCAAACGGTTCAAGTGGCACCTGCGGAACTATTCAATCCCGCAAGACCCCAGATCAATCCGACCCTGTGACCTGGAGAAAGCAGACCAGATGGACACGGTGGACCTGATGGTGCGGTGCTACGCCAAAGACTCGGTTCAGGTGGCCGTGAGCGTTTTGAAAACGATGCAAATGAACGATCTGGCTGAAAATTTATCCAAAAAGAACTATACGGGTAAGTTATTAAAAAGAGGAACAAAGACATCAGATGCTTATAATAAAGATACGACAGAAGTAAAGATGAGGAATGTGCCTCATAAATCCTCCTCATTCCAGGAGGGTGGGGCTCCTCTTAAGCCCCTCCCCCTGTGATGGATGTGCTTCATGTGCCGTTTGGATTGTCTGCTCTCTGTCTGCTGTGTAATGTTGTGTGTCTCATTAGAAGCATGTTTGGTCACATGCAAGTATGAACACTACTTACTTCACTTCTTAATAAATGTTAATAATAATAATAGCAGGCCACCACCCTGAGTGGAGGGATCCAAAACCAAACTATGAATTGAGTGCAGTGTTAATCTCGTCGACGAAAACTATGACGAAAAATGTTCGTTAATGACTTTTTCGTGACGAAAAGGGATCTTAAAAAATAAAAACTATGACTAAATATATTCCAATTTTCGTTAACGAGGCGAAACGAAAATGTTGGTGGTTGACGAATACTTTTCCCCCCTAAATTCGCATGCACCTAACAGACGTTTCCTCGGTGGATGAGACGCTCCGTCACAGGCTTCTCCAAACACGTCTAACATAATAAACTCATTGCAGGTTCACGCATTTCAACTATAGTTCACGCGCCACATCGTGAGAAGACGGTGTTAAACCGTCTCGGCCACCGTACGTTCGTTACTAAGCAACATAGAGGCGCCAACACAAGTGACAGGTGGATCCTTTTGATAGAAGTGCGCAGTGCAGGTGAAGAACGTGGCGGCGCAGCAGGTGGAGGAAAACCCGCAGGACACAAGAGAGAAGAACTGGTCATGAAACCAGAAAATAAACAAAGAGACAAAGAGAAAGAAAAGACTGTTGAATGAAAAGTGGGGGTCCAGTTTAAGTTAAGGGGTCTTGCGAGAGCATTGCAAGTAAACAGACAAAGACAACAAAGTGTTGCGTTTAGGTCCCTGGTCCTCATGAAGTTGGCAGAGCTTTACACCCTTGCCAATTTGTTAAATAATAAATGCTTTGCTACTTGTTAAAAGTCAAGTCCTTTCATGTAATGATTTTTCACATTTATATTAGCTCACACAAACACACCACCTGTTCTTGGCCCGGCTCCTCCGTCTAATTTTACAACCCATTGTGGCCCGCGAGTCAAAAAGTGTGCCCACCCCTGCTATAGACCTGTCCTAGGAGGGATATCTAATGGACAACCATTGACAACCAAGTACTGCAAGCTAGACTATTATGCAGTTGGAGACACAACACATGGAGTCTCTGGGGCTGAGAAGGGAAGAAAAAAAGTTTAATATGGCTAATAAATGTGACTAAAACTAGACTAAAATATAATTAGTTTTCATCGACGAAAACTAGACTAAAACTAAGAAGGATCAAAATGATTAAATGTGACTAAAACTGACATGCATTTTCGTCTGAAGACTAAGACTAAATCGAAAATAGCTGCCAAAGTTAACAGTCAATTTGAGTGTCATTATTGGTGTTCACCCAATATAAGGAACTATTCCGCATTAAGCGTGTAGGTTTGACTGTATTTACCAGATATTATCACACTACAAATGCACCAAGTAATCACAGAAAACGTCTTCTTTCAGGCAAACCGAATCCGGTGGGAGGAGATAGAGGTCAAGGTGAAGAGACTTTTCGTACTACCGTCTAATTATTGCAAACTTCAGTTATTTCCATGGTCATAGTTCTCACAGTCAGGTTTCTGGGGAGCTTCAGATAGTCATGCAGCAAAATACAACCAATAGCTTAATCCAAGGGAAATATTATACCATTAAAGTAAAGCATTATCTGATTTGTGGTTTTTTGTTCATTCAGAGCTTATTGACAACTGTCAACGTGAACTCAAATCCAACCTGAAGAAAAAGTTCCGGTGTGTGTTTGAGGGGATCGCTAAAGCAGGAAAGCCATCCCTTCTGAATGAGATCTACACAGAGCTCTACATCACAGAGGGAGGGACTGCAGAGGTCAATAAAGAACATGAGGTCAGACAGACAGAAACAGCATCATGGAAACCACCCAGACCAGAAACAACCATCAGACAAGAAAACCTCTTTAAAGCCTCAGTTGGAGGAGAGGAACCAATCAGAACACTGATGACTAGGGGAGTGGCTGGCATTGGGAAAACAGTCTTAACACAGAAGTTCACTCTGGACTGGGCTGAAGACAAAGACCACCAGAACATTCAGTTCACATTTCCATTCACCTTCAAAGAGCTGAATGTGCTAAGAGATAAGAAGTTCAGCTTGGTGGAACTTGTTCATCACTTCTTCAGTGAAACTAAAGGAGCAGGAATTTGCAGCTTTGAAAAGTTCCAGGTTGTGTTCATCTTTGACGGTCTGGATGAGTTTCGACCTTCGCTGGACTTCTGCAACAATGAGATCCTGACTGATGTCACAGAGTCCGCCTCAGTGAATGTGCTCCTCACAAACCTCATCAGGGGGAAGTTGCTTCCCTCTGCTCGCCTCTGGATAACCACACGACATGCAGCAGCCAATCAGATCCCTCCTGAGTGTGTTGGCATGGTGACAGAGGTCAGAGGCTTCAACGACCCCCAGAAGGAGGAGTACTTCAGGAAGAGGTTCAGAGATGAGGAGCAGGCCAACAGGATCATCTCTCACATCAAGACCTCACGAAGCCTTCACATCATGTGCCACATCCCAGTTTTCTGCTGGATCACTGCTACAGTTCTGGAGCAGGTGTTAAAGATCAGAGAGGGAGGAGAGCTGCCCAAGACCCTGACTGAGATGTACATCCACTTCCTGGTGGTTCAGTTCAAAACGAAGAATGTCAAGTACGATGGCGGAGCTGAGACGGATCAACAGTGGAGTCCAGAAAGCAAGAAGATGATTGAGTCTCTCGGAAAACTGGCCTTTGATCAGCTGCAGAAAGGCAACCTAATCTTCTATGAATCCGACCTGACAGAGTGTGGCATCAATATCAGAGCAGCCTCAGTGTACTCAGGAGTGTTCACTCAGATCTTTAGAGAGGAGAGTGGACTGTACCAGGACAAGATGTTCTGCTTTGTCCATCTGAGTGTTCAGGAGTTTCTGGCTGCACTTCATGTCCACCTGACCTTCATCACCTTTGATGTCAATTTGCTGTCAAAAGAACAAACAACCTCTCTGGTGTCTAAACGCTTTAAAGCCGATCTTAAACAAATGCGTCTCTACCAGAGTGCTGTGGACGAGGCCTTACAGAGTCCTAATGGACACCTGGACTTGTTCCTCCGCTTCCTCCTGGGTCTTTCCCTGGAGACCAATCAGACTCTCCTACGAGGTCTGCTGACACAGACAAGAAGTCCCTCACACACCAATCAGGCTGTCCAGTACATCAAGAAGAAGATAAATGAGAATGTGTCTCCGGAGAAAAGCATCAACCTGTTCCACTGTCTCAATGAACTAAATGATGATTCTCTAGTAGATGAGATCCAAAAGTACCTTAGATCAGGACACATCTCCAGATATATACTGTCTCCTGCTCAGTGGTCAGCTCTGGTCTTCATCTTACTGTCATCGGAAGAAGATCTGGAGGTGTTTGACCTGAAGAAATACTCTGCTTCAGGGGAGGCTCTTCGTAGGCTGCTGCCAGTGGTCAAAGCCTCCAACAAAGCTCTGTAAGTTCAGAGAGAGTTAGATTCATACATCAGAATGTGCATATGATGCCATCTTTTCTACTTATTGTTCATATTTTCTTCATCGTTGTCTCTTCAGACTGAGTGGCTGTAACCTCTCAGAGGAAAGCTGTGAAGCTCTGTCCTCAGTTCTCAACTACCAGTCATCTAGTCTGAGAGAGCTGGATCTAAGTACCAATGTCCTGGAGGATTCAGGAGTGAAGCTGCTGTCTGCTGGACTGGAGAGTTCACACTGTGCCCTGAAGACTCTCAGGTCAGATTAAGTTTGTCTACAATGATTTAAATGTGTCTCTAAACTATAAGCCCCATGCAGTGTAAAAAGGATCTATCTTTCTCAATCTATGAATTTGTTCTTCAAGATTTCAGATTTCATGAACAATTTTTACCAGGAAATAAACCAGAACTATGGAACCAGATGAACTAATCCCAGAGACAAAACTGAGGACTAAAAGCCCTTTTTGTGAATTTATGTTTGTATTTCCATGACAACGGAAGAATCTTGTAGACACAACAAACTTATTAGAAATTAGCCTAAAAAAATATACAGTCTGAAACACAATGTTCTTTGGCAATAAAACATCACAGGTTCATCCTGTTGTTACTCTTATTTAGGCTTTAGAATGTTAAATGTGATATAATTAATGAATGAAAAGGAGAAAAGCAGGGGTGGGAAAGAGACTCAAGACGTTATTGTGTGTCTCTACAGTGACAATCTGCTGACAGTTTTATGGTTGTTTATTTAAACTTAAAAAACATGAAATCAGAAGATGAAGATTAATTTCTCTTTTACACTCATTTTGTTTTCTCTTTCTTTAAAACAAGTCAGATAGAGGATAGAGAATCCTAACTTTTTATTTTAATCTAATAAACAACATTAATTATCCCTACCTCACCCTGACATTAATACAGTAATTCCTGTAAACATTAGAGCAAAATTAACGGATTTCTTCCTCTTGTTTAAAGTACATCAAAAACACTTTCACTGAAGAAATTTTCTTTGCTCTTACTGAATTAATTTAGTTCAAACTCATTATCAAAGAGGATTTCATTTTAACACTAATGATAATTTTCCTTTTGTTGATTGTTGTTTCTTCAGACTGAGCGACTGTCAACTCTCAGAGAGAAGCTGTGAAGCTCTGTCCTCAGTTGTCAGATTACAGTCCTCTAGTCTGGGAGAGCTGGATCTGAGTAACAACGACCTGCAGGATTCAGGAGTAAAGTTGCTGTCGGCTGGACTGGAGAGTCCACACTGTGACCTGGAGACTCTCAGGTCAGAATTCAATTAATCCACTTAGTGTCTTTATTTACATCAATGGTACATTTCTGACTTTCATAAGATTCTTTCTGCTTGTATAATTTAAATATATGTATATATTTCTAAATATTTCCATAAACATTTGTTAGACTTTATTTTCAATAAAATGTTACAAATAGAAATATTGGAGATCAATCATAGTTAACAGTGATGTTATCTGATTGTTGATGGACATTAGTGGATGTTTGGTTGGGACTTGAAACCAGTCAAAAACAATGGTAATATCATCTCTCACTAGCCGACTGTGTTTCAGTCCTGCAGTGACCTTCCAGCCCTAAAGATCCCTCAGATCGCGTGACCTTTTTGTTGTTTTGTGTGTTTGCAGGCTGTCAGGCTGTCAGATCACAGAAGAAGGCTGTGCTTCTCTGGCCTCAGCTCTGAGCTCCAACCCCTCCCATCTGAGAGAGCTGGACCTGAGATACAATCATCCAGGAGAGTCAGGAGTGATGCTACTGTCTGCTGTACTGGAGGATCCACACTGGAGACTGGAAACTCTCAGGTATGAAGAGGCCTGATGCAGCCAGAGACAATCAGTCTGGTAGAGCAGGTGGAGCTGGAAACCTTTTCTCTGACACACAAGGCTGACAGTCTGGTTAATATGACCCTGACACACCAAGCTGACCTAAAACTACCAGAGACTCACCAAACTGTTTGTGTCCCACATCAGACCATTAATACAGAGTATTAAGTGAGGAAAGTAGTGAGTGGTGAGGAAACAGTAGCCAGGTTGAGCCTTAAAAGGGAGGAAGATGATGAAAGGCTTATTTCTCTGGTCTTGTTTCCACCTTATAAGAGAGGACAGTGGTGTATCGGCCCTCATGGTGGGTTGATATGATGTAGCTCCAACCACCCACCGACCTCTTCCATCAGAGGGTTTGTAGTGCAGTAGTGATTTCAGTGACTTTCTCCTTTACTTCAGAGAGACAACAGTCATTATTACACAAACACAAGAAGTCAGGACCAAAACATCCAACAATCAATACTTCTACATTGACTGCGCCTCTGCTGACTGTGGGATGGTGAAGAGTCGTGTGGTGGAGATGAACCTACAGAGAATAGTCTCCATCACTACAGCTTTACATAGCTGCTTAGCCTCTTTTAGCTCCTATCTTTGGATGTGCAGCTCATTTCCTGTCTGGTTCAGTTTCAGTGTTTCCAACAGCAGCTGTTTTCATCCAACAAGCTGTGATGAAGCCATAGTTCACCACCTGCTGAGCAGCAACCAGCAGACACACTGAGTCAGAGACCAGCTGGGGAACATAGAGGAGCATTTAGCAGCTAGAGACACAGATATTCAGGAGGTGGTGGAGACCAAAAGAAGAGCTAAGAGAGAGAATAGTGGCCTTCCATCCATCGGATGACACAGTAGCTGTGTCTAAATTCATTGGGCTACATTCTTGCAGCCTCCAGCCTTCAGCAGCCTTCGCGGTAGACCTGGTCTAGTCCTCAGCAACTGCATAGGCTGAAATGAGCGGTCTCTGAAATGGGACGTCCTCCAGGGGGACTTCCTGCTTACCTCTGCTGCTCCCGTTGCCTAGCGACCTGCTGCGCTTGACAGTAAAAGCCTTTAAACCCCCAAAACGTATGAAGTAAAGATAGGGAAGGTAATCAATAAAAAAAAAACACAACAGCAAACACATTCATTAACTTAATTTTTTCCCCCTTGCATTAGATACGAGCTATTTTAACTGTAGCTTAAGATATTACAGAATATGTCCACGCTACAGAAGCCGAATGTCACCACACACATGGTTCTCCTTCAGCTCGATGCTTCTTCCTCCTGCTCCATAAAACACAACTAGATTCAAAGTTAGTTTATCATCACAACACAAAACAAAAGCAGCAAAGCAAGTTCAGTTTCTTTGTGTATTTGTTCTATAATGTTACTGACTTAGAAAGTAATATTTCAGGTTCATAACTTGTCTATCTGAGCTCACTTTGATCCATTTCTGTTCATAATATGAAGTATAAAGTATATATAAAACCGTCTCAGCGTCAGTAAGATATTAGTCAGCCTCTAAAGTGTGAAAGTTAAGTAATTAAAGTGACTTTTCACTAATAACTACAGACGAGCTGCTCGTTGTGCCTTTTGTTATAAATGTGTGTTGGTACATTGATGTTCATAAGAAAAGTACATGGACCCAGGACGGGCTCAGGTGAGAGTCTGGGTCAGGGGCTGTATGGGGGGATTTAATGTTAACACTAAGAGCAGTGTGATATCACGTCTTATGTGAATTTAGAAACACATATATACTATATTATGACATTCATATCGGTGGATATCGGTGGATGTTGGGCTGCAAAGGATACAGCCGAGTTGCAGCCGACGTGACGTATGCGGTCAATAAATGTGTCCTTAAGGATATGTTAACTTATGGATATAAGAAACGGAAGCAAATAAAGTTTAACAATATTTATTAAATACAAGTCTAATCCGGCCCAATATGAACTTTGACACATTACACGCTCTGAGCGACACCTGAATGATTCATGCACCACACGGCGGTCAAACCTGCTTAAATCACACAGCACTGCACACCTGTGCACACGGCAAATCACTGCAAAACCAACCAACCCTTTAGTTCACACAAGATCAGGTTGTCTACCCAGACCACTGCAGAAAGTACCGGGAAATGTAGAGTTAGTGACCAGATGACAAACAGACAAAAATTACATTACCGTACATGTTGAAGAATAGGGGATCGAAGTGCGTATGCAGGTTTTTCACTTGTCCGCAATGAATGGACGGTAAAAGCATTGCTTATTCTACCATTTCTTTGTATTTGACTATGCATAACGGCCACATTCGTCATTGTAACATCTAGACAATTGCAATAACACACATATTGCATATTTATTTATAAAAATAAACAGTCAAAATAGATATACAACTTTATTGAATAAAATGATTTAATAAACATTTTTATGTTTTATTTTTACCCTGACTGAACGCCACTGGATGCAGTCTAGGGATTTGTGACACACACAGACTCCAGGGCCCTGTTCCTCGTACGTAGTTCAACTAAGTCGATCAAATGTCCCGTTATCCAGCTCAAATGAACGAGATCATTGACATCAGGCTATCTTGGTTCCTCAAAGGCGGATCCACGCTCAAACAGTCTCATTAGTTTGAACCAGATGTCATCAGCACAATCGTCCTACGTCAGAAGGTGGAAGACTCGATCACCAAAACCAGGATTTTTAAACGGCAAATAAACTCACAGGAAGACGAGCAGGAGATGATGATACATGCATATAAGTATTTTAATCATTTCTGTTGGAAGAATTGAACGTATTGTTCATCTTTTACCTTGTTCATTCTGTACATCCGTCGCAGTCTCTCCATCCCGGGGGGGATCCTCCTCTGTCTCTCTAAAGGTTTCTTCCCTTTATGCTCCCCATTTTTTTCCTGTAGCGGTGTGATGGTTTCGGGACAGAGGATGTCACATGTGTACAGACTGTAAAGCCCTCTGAGACAAATTTGTGATTTTGTGCTATAGAAAATAAAATTAATTGAATCATAAGATCATGGCAAAAACTAACACTGACCCCTGCGAGGTCTACAAGCCTAGTATCGCAAAGACGTTAAATGTATTGACTTATTTTGTGCCTCATCACTCTAATCAAAGATTATATTTCTTTAAATGTGCCTGCTGGCAGAAGGCGAGGTGAGAGACTGTGAGAGACAGTATGAGAGACGGTGTGTGGGACAATGTGAGAGACAGTGTCTATTAATAGATGATGAATACGTGAACATAATGAGCTGTGGTCATCAGCCAATCAGAAGAAGCTCCACTGAAGTGGAAGAAGAATAGGTGGTCCATGTGGACATGAAGGACAGAGATGTGTGTATGAAAGTCATGTATTGTCCATGTCTCTGACCCCCCTCCTACTTTCAGGGTGGAGCCTGCTGGAGTTCGATGGTTGAGACCAGGTCTGAGGAAGTGTAAGTGTGCTTTGAGTTTCATTCATACAGATTCAACCATCTTCACACTGTGACATCACTCATTCACCTCTGTCATGTCATCATCAACGTGTCAATCGATGAACACATGATTAACAACTGCAGCTGTGTTGTGTCTTGTTCTCTCATCAGATTCCTGTGAACTCACAATCGACACAAACACAGTAAACGGAAAACTCAAACTGTCTGACAACAACAGGAAGGTGACATATGTGGTGGAGTATCAGTCATATCCTAAACATCCAGACAGATTTGACAACTTTCCTCAGCTGCTGTGTAGAACTGGTCTGACTGGTCGCTGTTACTGGGAGGTTGAGTGGAGAGGAAGAGTTCACGTGTCAGTGAGTTACAGAGGAATCAAGAGGAAAGGATTCAGTTCAGACTGTTTGTTTGGAGAGACTGATCAGTCATGGAGTCTGAGATGCTCCGATGAAGATTACTATGTCCATCACAATAAGACAGTAACACGCATCACCTCCTCCTCCTCCTCCTCCTCCGGTAGAGTAGCGGTGTATGTGGACTGTCCTGCTGGCTCTTTGTCCTTCTACAGAGTCTCTTCTGATACACTGATTCACCTCCACACCTTCAGCACCACATTCACTGAACCTCTTTATCCTGGGTTCATGTCCAGGTCTGGTTCTGGTTCCTCAGTGTCTTTGTGTTCTCTGCAGGAGGGAGATTCTCTTCCTGGTGGAGAACCTTCCTCTCTGCCCACCACATAGTTCAGTCTGTACAGGATGTCACACATGTGCATGTAGATGCAGGTGGAGCAGGTAAGGGGTACCTGAGGTGGTCTGGACTCTGGGGAGTCCACAGCTGTGTGGGACTTGTGGTGTTGCAGATGGAAGTCTGAAAGAGCTCAGCTAGGTGTGTTTTAATGTTGCTGTGCTCGTTGCCTCTTTGTATGAATCAATAGATTATCTTTTAGATATCGGGTCCTAATTAAGGTTTAATCTTAATCTTTATGTACCGCAATGTTCAAGAAGTTGTTGCTGTTGTATAAATTATCCTTATTTATGTGTTAATTATCAGCAAGCTAAATATATGCTTTTCCTGCACATCCTCTCTGTTGTCTCAGCTGGGTCCCAAAGCGGCGGCTCTAAGAAGCAGTTAGCCAATCACTGATGAAGTTAATGAGTGACATTATAATTTCAGCGTCCTAAAATACATTGAGATTTGGGCTGGCCCTTCGCCGCCCTACGCTGAGGTCTCGGCAGAGCGAGTCTCCGACGCGCCGTTTAACAACATAACAGGAGCGACCACAGGCCGTGTCCTTCCAAGAAGACCCGACCCGAACTTGGTACGAGAAAAAAACTTTGCCAGAGAAACTAGAGGTAAAACAGCTGGACCCAGATCAGCCAAACCTCACAATCAGACAACAGACCGGCCTGAAAGGGAAGCCACACATACGGCACTTCTGTAGAGACTTTAATATATTTATCCTTTAATATATTTATCCTTTAATATAACATATTTATATCGGATCTTTAGAATAGTTACGATATCATAGTTATCATATTCTGAATATTGTTTTATATATCAATTAAAACGGAATTGTTTGAATAAGATGTCCTTATTATGTTAAACTGTTGAAATAAATGTTAAATATTTAACTGCAAAGTAATACTGTGTGTTTGATACCTTTTTTTGCATTAAATCATACTGGGATGTTTACTGAAACTGATTGGCTGGCCCAACCATAAGAAAATCCACCAGCCGCTACTGGTGTGATTGTTTGAGCCGATTTTAACTTGAAATATTTAAAAATGTGTTAAATCAAATATAATTTCACATAATCAGGTTTGTTCTGAACTTTTGAAAGCTTCAGCTATCCTCTGAAGAAATGATTAAATGACAGATAACGAGGCACATACACGCACACCCTGACCGCGGCCGCAGGAACAGCTGATTATGGCGCCCGGCTCATGGAGTCGCGTCGCCGGGGCCTCCGAATCCGGACCGCTACACGTCGATCACAGATATAGGCGAGACACGGCTTTCCGCCTTATTTGTTAACTGTCACTCATGATGCCACAACCCTCTCAGTTGATGCTTTTCATCGACAAAACGCCCCCCAGACCCATGTCCGATACGTCGGTCTGCAGAGTAAAGGGAATAGAAAAGTAAGGGGTGTAGAGGAGTGGTTCCCCACAGTCTCTGATACCGCCTCTGGGCAGGTCGTGACAGGTGGCCCGCCCCCCAAGTGGTACCCCAAATACACTACCTCCATCCGTCCAACTGCAGGGTTGGCGGTGAGCCCCGCCCGTCTCAGAGACTCCAGCACTGCGCCCACCCGCCGCACATGTCCCGCCCAGGTGGTGCTGTGGATAATGACATCATCCAAGTAGGTGGCAGCATATGCAGTGGTGGGACGCAGCACTCGATCCATGAGGCGCTGAAACGTGGCCGGGGCACTAAACAAGCCAAATTGAAGCGTAGTAAATTGGTACAACCCATACGGAGTGGAGAAAGCAGATTTTTTTCTTGGCCAATAGCACTAATTCAAATCCAGGGTTGTAAAGAAACGTGCAGTGCCCAGCCGGTCCAGGAGTTCGTCGACCCGGGGCATTGGGTAGACATCAAATCGTGACACGTCATTCACCCTGCGATAGTCCGCACAGAACTGTACTGACCCATCTTTCTTAGCCACAAGAACGATGGGGCTACACCAGGCGCTGTTGGACTCTTCTATTATCCCCATCTCCAACATCGCAGCCAATTTCCCCTGAACCACTTTTCTTTTGTGTTCGGGCATCCTGTAGGGCTGTGACCTTATCGTCACCCCCGGGGGAGTCTCGATTCGGTGTCTGTCAGGTCAGTCCGGCTTGGCAGGGGGGAGCAAACTGCTCTGAGAATGGCGACGCACGGGTCAATGAAGTCTATGATAAATAAATAAACAAACCAACGACTTCCACACACAAAGAATCAGGAAACATTTATTGCCATTATATGTCAGACATTTGTATCCCTATGGTTGAATGCACTTATTGTACGTCGCTTTGGATCAGCTAAATTACATGTAATGTAATGAACCGAGCCGTCTCTGAAAATGGGACCGTCTGGCCTACAGGCGACTTCCTGCTTGCCTTAAGCCTAGTTTATGCTTCTGCATTTTCAGAGCGACGCAGACGCAAGAGCCCCTTGCGTGCCTTTTCACACCTCCTTGCGTCCTTGCGTGTCTCGACCCATTTTTCTAGGCTTGCGTCGCTTTCGACGCAAGCCTCCTGCAGCGCACAAGGCTGCGATTGGTCTGCTAACTACAGCCTTTACGGAGTCTCACATTTCCTTTGTCATAGCCCGATACCGCCATTATTAAAACGAAGAATGTTTACGAGAGAACGGAGCAGATTTGAGAACTTTTGTCGGAAGAAATGATTAAATATGACCACTTATACAAGCCGTCATTGGCGGGTTGTAGAAGCGGGTTGGATTCACGGAGGGGGATCTCTGCAAACGCCGGTTTGCCGGTCAAGAGGTGCACAAAGTTGTGGAGGAAAATACGGGACAAATGTGTCCGCGATGAAAATCAGCAGTGGCGATGCACAGGGCAATAAACAAATAAATAGACGTGACTCTCTAGGTCGTCTTCAACAAAAACACGTTACTCCGCCTGTTGTTCTGGAGGTGAATTGCTCTGCAACACACGCAAGACTTTTAGAACCATGAGTTGAAACGAGTGCGTCGACGCAACGACGCAGAGTCAGAGTAAAGTTATTCATATTTCAATTGATTTAGGAAGATACGCTTCTCCTCTGGAGCATTTCAGGCAGAAAGAAGAACATTTTCCGGTTATTTTAAATTCAAATTAAATCAATTGATACCTCCCGTATAATACTTTACTAATTCATAATTACTTTCAGCTTAAAGTAATATTGCAATCTTAAGGCAGAAGAGATTCCATCAATGTTGGCAATAAAAAACACAACAGCAAACACATTTATTAACTTGTATGCAAGGATTTTTTTCTTTCTTTCTTGCATAGGATACAAGCTATTTCAACCCCCCCCATGTCCACGCTACGATAGCTTAATGTCAACACACACACATCGTTCTCCTTCAGCTTGATGCTTCTGGCTCCATAAAACACACCTAATTGTAAAGTTAGTTTCTAATCACACCACAAAAGGAGCAAAGCAAGTTCACTTTTTTGTGTATTTATTCTGTAACGTTACTGACTTAGAATGTGATATCTTAAGTTCATAACTAATAACTACGGGCGGATGCGGGCAGATGCAGCGACTTCCGGTAACGTGAGCTGCTCGCTGTGTATTTGCTATAAATGTGTGTTGGTACATTGATGTTCATAAGAACAGGACATGGTGAGAGTCTGGCCTGTATGCAGTTGGGGGGATAACGGAGTTAATGTTATCACTAAGAGCAGTTTGTTCTAGCGTCTTATGTGTTTATATAATGTTTTATGGTTCACTGAGTCTAGTCTTGTGCTCTTTTAATCAATCGACCTGCGATTTACAGAGAACGGTCACTAAAGATGTTAAATTCTGGTTGTTACGTGTGTGTGTGTTGTTACGTGTGTGGGTAATGGAAAAGGTTCCTTATGTTTAAAACCCAGTATGGTCGCCAGCTGTCCTTCAAGGGACAGAAATCCACACATTGGTAGCTGGATAGGCATCTTGTGTTGTGTCGTGTGTGTTGGTGCATACATAGATCTGATCTGCTGGAAGCACCATTGAGCAGTTTGAAACACTGAAACATAACATTTAATGAAACTGTGGGAGGGACGTTCAGATGAAGCCTATGACGCCAGTTGGACCAGCTATTGTAGTGAAGCAGGTACAATGGTGACATCAAGCCCTGACACACCGCAGTGTCTGCTCTTTGAATAGGAAGTACGATTAAAAGGATGTTTGTAAGTCACTTACGGTCAGGGCCAGAAAGGTGTGTTGGTATATTAATGTTCATAACGTGTCCCTGGGTTAGCTTGTGTTTTCAACCCCTCTAATGATTGTTGCCTTGTACCGAATTATTTCCTCCTGTGTCCAATCACCTGCACCTCCTCGGTGTGTTTAAACCATTGTCTCTCTCGTCATGTCTTTTGCTCTCTCGTCATGGTTTGTTTGTCATTTTTTGGTTGGGTGGTGACGTTGCCGTTATCTTCTTCTGGCTTCATCTTGTTCCCGCTCGCTCTTTGGCATTTTGGTATTCTTAGTAAATCACTTTTAATTAACTAAGGATACAAAATGCCTACAGGAGCAAGCAGGGAAAGCGGGAACAGGATTACGAACAGCACTCAAACAAACCAACGCCAGACGAGGGACATGGATAAATACACGGAGGAGACGCAGGTGATTAGACGGGGAACAATTAGGGACACGGCCAACAATCACGAGGGAACGAGAGCTTTATCTACCGGCTGTGTGGAGGTTCGCCACCTCCCCCAGAGGCAGCATCGGCCCGGGCCTGGTCCGTCTAGACCCCCCACTGACACTGACGGCCCATGCAGCAGCGCACCCCCTACCCGGCGAGCCCACGGGGAGGGGAGAGTAAAGGTGTATCGCTCGCCGTCGAGCCCTTCACCTCCACCCTCCTCTATCTTGTTTTGTTGAGTCTTTTTGAACCATTCTTGGTCTGGTCCCTCGCCTGAGACCTCTTTGCCAGGGGAAACCCTCCAGGAGCACCAGGCTCCAGACAACACAGCCCTCAGGTTCACTGGGACACGCAAACCTCTCCACCCTGATAAGGTGATGGTCTGAGTGAGGAAAGAATTCTTCTCGTGCCATTGGAGACATTCACTCTCTCTGTCATCTTCAAACTTCTTCCGCAGAGCAGCTAGGAGGTTGTTGTGGTCCTCCTGCTGCGCCTCCAGCTTGGTGGCACAGGATGTTTCAAGCTGTAATGTCAGTTGCTGAAAGCTGAAGCTTTGCTTTTCTAGCAGATCTTCAGTTTCTTTCAGAGCTCTTGTGACCTTGTTAGTCTCTGCTCTCTGTTCCTCCAGCTGGTTGTGGGATGCCTGGTTTCTTTCAAACATCTCCACAGCCTCCTTCTCCATTGCAAGAACAGCAGTGATGTTCCTCAGCTGGGCATGTTCAAGGTCCTGGCATGTTTTTTCCAGCCTGGCTTTGAAGGAAGTCCTCTCTTGCTCCCACTCAATGGTGTGACTCTCCAGCTGCTGCTCAGCTTTCTCCACAGCGGCCAAGAGGTCTTTGTTCTTCCCTTTTTCATTGTTTTGGTCAAAGGAGTTTTCCAACATGGCAGACTGCAGGCATTCTTTCTCCTGCTTCCATTTCAAATGTTCACTCTCCAGCTGATCTTCAAGCGTTTTCTTCAGAGCAACTGTGAGTTTTCTGTTGATCTTGTCTTGCGTCTGCAGCTTGTGAAGAGTTTCTCCCCGTGAGGAATTCAGCTGTGTCTTGAGGGAGGTCGTTTGCTGACGGAAGGTTTCCAACAGACTATCGGTAACTTCCGTGTTCTTGATGGTCTCAACTTTCTCTTTTTCTAGCTGGCAGGTCAGGGAAGACTTCTCCTGCTGCCACTGACGATGTGCATCCTTCTGGTCCTGCTCGGACTTCTTCAGAGCAGCTGTGAGCTCTATGATAGCCTTCGTCTGTTTGGCCTGATTAAGTTTGCAGTCCTTGTGCAGCTCCATCTCATTCTGCTTGGTCGTCACCTGAGTGGGGACGTTCTCACCCAGTGCTAATTTCAGGGCAGCTGCCATCTACTCTGTTTCCGCTCTCTGTTGCCTCATTCTGTCCATATGAAAAGCCTTGAAATCTTCCGTCATCTTTTTTAATGCAGCTTCTGACAACTTTGTCAGTTCCATGTGCTGCTTCTTTGTTTGAGCCCTCTCGATTTCCAGGTCATTTTTCAACTTCAGGTTAGTTTTAGCTGCTGTAAACGATTTCATTTCAGCAAAGGTCTTAGCGTACGGGTCATTTTGAAGGGCCTCTTTGTCTACCTTCATCCTCTCAGAGTTGGTTCTCTGCTGCTTTCAGGGCCGCAGCCATCCTGTTTGCCTCCAGTTTCCAATTGGTGATCTGGATGTCATAGAAGTCCTGGAATCTCTCCTTTATTGCGATTGCTGCCTCATCCTGGTTCTTGAGAGCTTCTGTCAATGTTGTCAATTGAATGCATAGCTCCTTTGTTTGAGTCCTCTCAATTTCCAGTTGACTTTCCAATTCAATGGACTCTTTTTCTCCCTTTATCTGCAACTGTACGGGCTGCATCTTGATAATGGATGTCGGTTTCTCAGCACCATCCAGAGAAGTTGGGATCTTGCTTCTGGCCTGTTTTAGCTGTGCTTTCAGGCTACACATCTCCTTGTGTACATCTCCATTCTTATGTTCTTGGAGAAGATCGAGGAACTGTTGCAATCTGTCCTCGTCGATCTGGAGAACTCTCCCCACAGATTCGGTTTGGGTGAGCTTTGCCCGGCTGTCCTTAAGCTCAACCCGTACTTGTTCCTCCAGTGAACATAGGTAAAAGTTCATTGGAGGATCAACAACCTTGGAATTGACTTCCATTTTCTCTGGCATGGTGTCTTTTTGCTGCACGTTGGTCATTCTTTCTTTTTCTCAAGTGGTCTCTGAAACAAACGTATGTCTGATCTGAAGTCCTCTCTGAAAAAAATCGCCTTATTTTTTTCATCTTTGCTATATTACTACTTACGCTCTGCGTATTACTATATAACTTTCTTCGTTGAATGTCCTACATTTGAATTGATGCAGCAAATCAGTCCTTTTTTGCTTTTGCAGAAATAGCTACATTGGCAAAGCAAAAAACATATATAATCGTCAAATGCAGTCTGGATTAAATGATCCGAACGTAAACAGTTTTAATGGTTTAAATACAAATACACTGGAACCAAAGCTGGAAAAACAAACCCAAAACCCAAGAGAAAAAAAGCAGACAAACAACCCACTCTGTAGCAGAGATCCTTAACAGATTGAACATGTCAAAAGAAAAAAAATGCAAATATATATGTATACACATCTATAGAAATATAAACATGAACAGGCCATTAAAATAAAAGGTGAACTTTGTGCAGTTGTGATGGATTCTACTCCCAGCGTATGTATAATCAAGGCTTACAAAGCTCATAAAGTCACACACACGGAGAGCCACCACTCCTTTTCTGGATCCACCCCGCACACCAACATCTGCATTAGTCATCCTTCTGTTCTACAAACACTCTCCCGTCCCGTCGTCATTCCTCTTCGGTTTTCACTCCATTTTGGACATCTCAAACTTTGTGGTCAAGGTTTCCTGCAACAGAAAACACAACATCACACTTAGTAATAATGATGGGCCTTATTAGTTTCTCCTGGGAGGCCTCCATAATGTTGCCCTCTGTTGTTCAAAAGAAAGGTCAAAGAAATAGTTTTGTCAAGAAAGAGGCTGGAAGAAGGAGGGGAAGACATTGTTCAGGCCACTGCTCGAAAATGGCATACCCATCGGTGTTTCCCCTTGGTTTACAACTTCAGGGGGCGCCCCCCTGTTATAATGGTGTGGGAAACACTGCCCAGGATATAAACAAAATGAAGATGCACCCAAAAAAAAGATTTTAAGTTTGCCTTAAATAAAAAGCACTTTTTAGCTTGATTTACCTTTTGGAATTATAATATTATGGTTATCCAATCAGTCTGCCAGATCATAGCACAATATGTTAACATTCTTTTTGCAAAATTTTAATAAAGTGAAGGACGCATTTTAAGAGATCAGACCAGAAAGAGACCAGAGACCAGATGTCTTTCCCCCACCTTCCCTAAACACCATAAAGGAAATACCCCATAGCGTCTATGGATTTTAATATCTCTTAGTGTAATTCAGCAGCTTACATAAGATTTTGAATCCAAGCACTTTGTTGATTGATGGATCATTTAAAAAAAAATATAAAGAACAGTTCAGCTTGGAGATCAAAAAGTAAATAATTTGGAAAATGGTAGGAAAAAAGGGTCAACGTAAAAAAAGGATGTTGAATATATTAAAGAGATTCAGCCGGATTTGTGTTTAATATCAAAAAAGGCTTTCCTAAATGTTCACCATCTTTCTGTTTTATCATTAATAGAAGCACCGCGAACGATCACACATGTGACGTAACACGGCAACAGCTACTCTCTGCATCGATAGTTTGCCACCTTCTGCTGCTGACAGAACGACGAATATTATAAACCACCAGTGTTAGCGTGTCTTTTTTGCAGACACGTCCAAATCTTGAGGACAGATAAAAAAAAAAATGCAAGACGACTTACCTCATCAGAGTCCAGCAGGGGGGGCAGGGCACTGTGGGACAGAAAGGGAAAGCAGAAGATTTGAATATTCATTTTTACGTTAAAATCAGTGTCAACATGTAGACATCTTGCTGATGAGGACTTACACATCCGCTATAGATGAAGGGACATTCTCTTCCACCCATTTCAGATCCTCATCCTGAAAAAAAAACAGTCAGCTGGCATTAGGAAGTCATAAGAAGAACGTATTGTTCTTGAAGCTAGAAACTTTGACTAACCTGAGATAGTCAAAATGATTCAACACTTTGGTAACTCGATCGTGTGGAATATTAATGTACGATGAGAATGAGCGGTTTAAAAGAGCCTGCTGAATCACTGAGGTGTACCTTGGCCTGTCGCAATATGCGATAAAATGACATATCGCACACTATCTGAAATTGAGAGCAATCATTTTTGGTGTTGCGATATTCATTTTACATATAATGAACGTCACCAACATTTAAGTTGATGGTGCTGCCTCCGTCCGTTTTCCTTGTGAAAGCGGACACAGAGCGGACACCGTCAGGCGAAGAGAATCAGTGAACCCAACTAAGCTAAAATCTCACCCAAAACAACAGCCATCCGCCCGGTCTTTCAACCTGAACTACTGTCCGTTCCTCCGGACTGCTTGTTCGCCTCTTTGGGCGGGAGGAACGCCGTTCAGATTCTAATGTTTAACTATTCTGACAAATAAAATATTCTTTGTTCCTTGAAAATAGGAATATATTATGTTATCGGTGGCGTATAGATGTCTCAATAACATGCGCGCACAAGTGACACACAATGTGAATCCACACACACACACACACAGTTGTAAATACTGCGAGTTGTGTATCGCTCTATCTAGCGATGTGTGTTTTAGTATGACGTTTGAATGTCGTCATTATGTAATCAGTGGCATACAATGGTCTGAAAATTACAATAATATCGTTTATCACAACTAATGCAAGATATTGAACAACAAAAATGAGTTATCGTGACAGCCCTACCTGCAATGACAAAAATGGTATCATAGGAAGTCTTAATCCTCACAAAACCTTAAACCAACTTCTTGTACCAAAGCCCAATTGATACATCTCACTTCACAACAACTAAAAAGCAGAGGTGTCAAGATACGAAGTACAAATACTTGTACTGTACTTAAGTAGAAGTTTTGGGTATCTTTACTTTACTGGAGTATTTATTTTTCAGACGACTTTTTACTTCTACTCCTTACATTTCCACCCAAATATCTGTACTTTCTACTCCTTACATTTTAAAAACAGCCTCGTTACTTCCGGCTTGTCGTAGTTCAAAAACACAACACAAAAACCCCCATCTAGATAAATGTCGCTATGCGGACAGAGTGCATTTGATTGTGTTTAGATGAGAAGTATAAACATTTAGCATCCAGACACCCGATTGGTTTCCTCCGCGATGCGCCGGCAGATCGGAGCCACACCGGGTGGGAAAAGTGGTCGGTGGAAAGTTGGTATTTAGCGACACGGAGCCTCCTCCTCTTCCTCACGCAGATTCCATGTAACGTTAGATGAGTATCTTCATGACCGTGGGTTTGTCCTAAATGTTTTATTGAGAGTCTGGCACAACTCAGCGACTTGCAAGTAGCGTATTAAATAAAGTGATGTGTGTCTTAATGCGGCTTGAGAAATGAACACAAAGGGATTCTGTATTTGCTCATGAAGCCTGAACATACGGGTTATTTGGCCAATGTTTTGATAACGGACCGCTGCCAGTTCAGTGTTTCCCATCATTATAAACAGGGGTGCCCCCTCCCATACCCGTAAAAACTCACCCCCCCCATGACGTAGTGAACCTGGGGGAGACACTGCAGTCTACCTGTGTGACTCGTGTCACTGGAAAATGGGTTGTGGTTTTATCTGTTTAAGTTAATTAGATACATTTGTTGTTTTGTTGTGTCTCCGAGTATCTCCATGTTTCCACCATCCCAACGGCAGGTCACGTGATCTGCAGGCACCTTCTGATCACATTGTAACGGACGGACGTGTTGTGTGAGCGAGGTTACGCATTAAGAGTTTGTTCTTAATGGACTTTCTTACATTACTTTTTTACTTTAAGTAGTTTTGAAACCAGTACTTTTATACTTTTACTTAAGTAAAGAGCTTGAGTCGATACTTCAACTTCTACAAGAGTCTTTTTAAACCCTAGTACCTGTACTTCTACTTGAGTAATGAATGTGAATACTTTTGACACCTCTGCTAAAAAGGAAAATACTATTAAATTGAAAATGGCAGCTGCTGCTGATCTCACTCACCACCTTGATGGCCTGGGCCGTGCCGTTGGTCTCATTTTTCGTGCCCCTCATTTTCATCCCCTCTGGAGATGCACCAAAGTAAAAAACAAGATGAAGAAAAAAACAACACATGGATATAATCAACTCACATACAGAATTTTCCATGCTAATTTAGTTCAGACATCTAGTTAAAGACGTTTCATTCATAATTGAATTATAACTGGTTAACTCTTATCTGCTAAAAAATGAACTCATTTACATTTACATGGATGTTGAACATTTAATCTCAACTAACTAACAAAATAACTAAATCAACTATCAATCATCAATGCTACTGAGGTGAGACAAAAATAACACAGCAAAGTAATGTATAAGGAGGCAACAGGTGAGGGAGGAAAGGTGGAAGGGTGAAGAGGAGGAAGGTTTCTAACCGAAAGCCTCGTTCATCGTGGGCTCCTTCTCCTCTTCCTCACTCTCTTCATCCAACAGAGGACTGAAGGCATACCTGTCAAACAAACAAAACACTAACTTAACTTTACAGTTCAAAGGAGAAAAGGTGTGAACAAAAATGGACGTTACCTCTGGTTATTGGCCGAGGGTCGCCAGAGGAACATGATGACCAATAGGATGATGGAGAACAGGAAGCGCCAGAAAGCGTCTTCTATCCACAGCTCCTTCCAGTCCTGTAGAGAGAGAGAGAACCTGTACTTCTCCACTGGCCTAAACATCTTCCTTAGAATCAATACAAATTGGACTTTAGAAAAATGATGACGGAAAGGTGTTGTAACACTCCTGAACTGTGCATGGATGGCAAAACCATCTGATGGTGGAGATACACACTTTTGCATCCAAGCTTGGGTACTAATGGAAACAACAAGGGAACTGTTGGGTTAAGGGAAAAAATAGTTTATAAAACTATCATGAGAAATTCATAAAAATCACAGTGGACTTTGATAAATCACTGCGACTGAAGTCAAATTAGATCAACCCTGCAACATTGAATACTGCTAATTGTCTGCAGAAAAGTGTTTCTTCAATGAACTGTTGGCAAAATGTTGTTAGTTTTCCTACAATATTCGCATATTGCGTCGTGATAAATGTTTTATGGGATTTTTAGGCAACTAAAAGGTTTTGTACAACAAGAAACCTTCCTTGACAGGAAATAAAATGAGGGTGCAATAGATTCAGGAGAGAAGATAAAGGGCAGAATTGTGGATGAGGTCAGGACGTTACGGTTCATCATGACTTCATTTAGGCAGAGAGGGTTCATCTACTCACAGACAGACACTTAGACGTCCTGAAGGTCTTGGTGGACCAAAGGAAGAAGATGGCCGACACTGGAAAAAAACGAATACAAGCTTGAAAGACTTGAAGTGTGCGTTTCAAACATGGAAGACCAACAGAGTGCTTCTTCGTACTTATGACAGCGAAGATGAGCGTGTTGGTGAAGTGTCTGTAGAGGGAGAGCTTCACAACGTTCCTCCTCAGCTTTAGCAGCTTCATCGTCTGAGCCAGACTCACAAAGATGTGCGCACACAGTGAAGGAACATTCTACACAGGTTTCAGAAACACTTCTACCACCCTGAACGACCGTCTCCTAATGAAAACAATTGAGGTCTAACCCTTGAATTTGCATGGGGGATGAGATAGCATAAGACCAACAGTTTTCTAAAGTTTTACATGCATTTCAAAGATTTTTTATTGTTATTTATAGAAACTGGGAAATAGAAATTACAGGCAAAGCTGGAACAATTTCTTCCTTATTTTGGTTAATTACTTTGTATTAGTAGAGGGGATTTTGCAGGACACATAATATATATAAGCAGAGATGAAGCAGAAAAAGAGAGAAAGGCAAAGAGAGAGAGAGAGGTAGAAACCGTTTTACTAAAAGGGGAAGCTGCAGTCACAGATATCCACCAGCAGAGGGTGGAGTCGAGCACAGCCAGAGGAATAGCAGCCAGGAGGACTGCGTCACCTTCAGCCTACAGGAAAAGTAAAAGACCAGAAGAAGAAACGGTGAAAAGAATAGCAGAGAAGAAGAGGGAGAGTACGGAGAGCAAGAAAGGGTGAATGCCTATTTAGAGGATGAGGAGGAAGATGAAGAGGTGTTGGGAAGCAAACAGAGGGAGTCAAAGGGAGAGATGGTGTAAAGGGTGGAGAACAGACATGCAGACACAGTGCACCACCCTCAGTAAACACACACGGCTCGTTGCGTGCAGCTCAAATGGCTGGACTGGGTGGAGGGCGTGAGGGAGGAGGGGGGTTGTGATAGTCTGATGCGGTGGTACCCACCCAACCAAAAACACCACAAGCAAACCAGAGAGGGTCCTGGACGCTGAATGCATTCCTACTCACGTAGGACACAAAGGGAAATCAATAGATGCAATGACTTGCTGCCTAATTTTGTTCATATATTTTAGGACAATGTTTTCAGAATTTGCCCATTCTACACTCCAGGAAGACTCATGGGCGTCCCTTTAAATGGATACACTACAATACACACTACAATAAGATGAAATTTAGATCAGATGAGAAAAACGGAATACTATGTTATCATCCCAACTTTTATCTGACCGTTTAGTTAGTATCATATATTGTTATTTCATATTAATACTATTATATAATTAAAAATGGAAGTGAATTAAGTGCTGCGGTGTTGGTTGGCACATGTGAAAGGATATCCACCAGACAACACAGGAGTCAATGAAGGCCAGCGATATGTCACACATTAACATACCGCTGGAGTGGTTGCCTCGATCCTGGGGGGACAGATAGTTAAGACACGTGGGGTGAGAGAGGGGATTGGGTGTTTGGGGAGACTGGGAGGGGGGGGGGGGGCGGGGGGAGACTCACAGCGTTGATGCGTAGGATCCCCTCAATGCTGGAGAAAATCAGGTAGAGCAAACCGACTCCGACGACTCGGTGGAGCAAAGCCCCCAGTCTGGGTCTGGTGGGGGGGAGGAGTGTGGGGGGGGGGGGGGGGGGGCGCACATACACACACACAAATTCTATGAAAGTAAAGTCATTGTCTCATATAAAAATGAAAGTTAAAAAGGATTAGAGAGAAAAGTGTAAAAAATCTTTTAATCAAGTTATTAAAATGATTAAAATATTAGAAAACCTCCCAACTTACTTGACGATGCCGTACCCCAGACTGGCGATGATAACCAGAATTCTGGCCAGAGTCCTCTTCACCGCAGAGAGCACCTCAGCAAACGCCACGGCCCCCGGGACTGCAGGAGGACACAGGGTCAGCCTGAGTACCCCCCCTCAGCCAGTCACATGGACCCCTGTGTCTTCACCCCCCACCCCCGTCTTCACTCACCCGACAGGCCGTCGTAGCGGATGCTCTGGAACTCGGCGTAGTAGACGGCCTTCTCCAACATGCCCAGGAAGATGACTCCCCCGATCCAGAACTGGATCCTGAGCAGATCCCTCCAGTGGCGAGCCAGCAGAGCCAGCCACAGCACGGCCATCAGCACGTACACGATGCACATGGCCATGTAGAACTGGAGACAACATCATACATCACACCCATCCCACCAGGGCGGAGGTATCCCACATGGGCGAGGGGGGTTTACTCTGTCCCGCGTGCGTGTGTCTCCTTACCATCATCATGGGCCACTCAGCAGCTGATAAGTACTCATAAGGACCCGTCATGCGTATCTGCACTGCAAACACAAACAGAGGCCATCGGATCAACTGCTCTGTATTCAGACTCCAGACATGGGGACACCAGAGGGGAACAAGCGGCCTCATTCAGAGCCGACTCCCAATGGTCCGCTGTGTAAATAATACAGATTTGAATTTGGTCCGTTTGCTCTCGGTACTGTCTGCCCCTTTGCAGCACTGCTCTACAACATTAAAACACAAATCAACTGCACGGTGCACAAAATAGTTAGCAGCATTCAGTGGAATGAAATTTAAAAAATAATGAAAAGAAGTCACTCTTCAACCATTAATCTGTCCAATTTAACCAGTGACAGTGTGCAATGAGATGAGATTAACTATCATTTTAAATGTCAGAATCCAGCGGCAGACAGCAACATCACTAAAAACCTGCAGGACGATTGTGCAAACAAATCTATCATCTGGTATCAGGAACTATTTCCAAACAGCATTATCAGCTTTCTAAATTGTAGTGACAGGAAATTACTAATGTTAATGGTTAACAGGAGCTACATTACATCCATTGGGTGGATTGGTGTGTGTGTGTGATACTGACATTGTAGAGTCCAGGGTGTGGGGGGGTTAGCAGGTTCATGGGTTTTGCTCTTTTCTTTAATTCTCAGGATGAACATGTAGGGTCCGTCCTCCCAGGTTTTTGCCACCACATCCAAGGAAGAAGCAGCCGCAGGCACCTGAGCGAGACAGGCAATCCATCAATAACTCCATCGGCACAGTGAGCAACTGCTTATGCAGCATGCATTCAGGGGACATTTTTACCACACTTATAAAAAGACATACACGGCTGAAACACTGGCAGGGGGAAGATAAGAGTGCTGGAGTTTATTGACTTTAGCAAGTGGCAGTCTGAGGAGGGGTCCGGATACCATAGAGAACCCCACTGCACGGCTTTTTAGACTCAATTGAACAAGGGCAAAAAATAAGAGCCTGAGAGCTGACATGTCTCAGTCTCTTATTTTTTGCCCCTCCCAAGTATTCCTCAATACAGCATGATGTTATTTTAGGAAATTAAAGTCCATTTAGACTCAGTAGATCAAAATGCATCATATTAACTTTTCTTTGAGGCGGGTCTACCTTGTGATTGACAGGTCACTACCAGCTCTATACAGAGTTTTTCTGTATCAGTTTTTCTGTCACGTTCCTCTTCAGGCCAAATATGACCACATTATTGCAAACAACAACAACAACATGGCATCAGCAAATTAGCTTTAAAACATCCCGATGACTGTCTCCACTTCTTATTTACAGTTTATACTGCTGCTCAGACTAATGACTAATGTAAATGTTCTTTAACACAGTGAACGATTGTTAGAAGAAGACTGTACAATGGGGTTGAGGTTTTTGTGGTTACTTTGTGGTTTATTTGCAATAAATATGGGCATTATTATTATTAGATTACATTATTATTATTATTTATGGCTATTTAGTTTTTTGTTCTGTATAAAAGGAAATGCTGCTGTTCAAAAGCACCTTATTGTTAAGTTTTTGCTCAAATGAAAGTGCACAATACACTACTTTTGAATTAATTATTGAGTTTTGCTGATACCCTGGCTCCTTTGGGGGTGGGTGAAGCTGCGCCTCCTTTGGGGGGGGGTGAAGCTGCGCCTCCTTTGGCGGAATCCCTTTTCTTCACTGCTGCAACCTGAGAGACGGAGATCGACAGAATGTTAATGAAGAGTGCGTTATAAATAGTAAATAAAATGTAATGTAAAAACATGGCAAATAAGAGACACTACAACATATTCTACTGCAGGGTGCAATCCAGTGAACGTTCTCTCTGGTATTGACCGTTGGTGCACGTTCTCTTCTAGCTGTGCTCTCCTGAATCTCAGGTGCTTTTTCCTTTTCCTGCTCTGCTCTTCAAACTGCAGAAATCAGTAGATCAATGTTTACTGGAGCTCTGCTGTTGGTTTAGCTCCATGCTGGCTGATAACCTGTGCATGGCCTCATCAAGGAACCCACGGCATGTTCTCCTGTGGTGTAGCACTCTATTGTATTGACTGGCTGTACGGCGAGCGGACTTTGTTGGATGTGCACACCTTCGACTTCGTAGTGGCATCGCTCCTCTCAACTGCTGTATTTGGCTGATAAAAACAAAAGGAGAAAAAACATTTAATGATAATAAACTGAACGATTGTTAAAAGATGACTGCACAAAGTTTTCCTTTAATCAATTAGACCGGACCGAGTACCGTTAACAGGGTTCATAGTTCATAGCCTGCTCGCGCTGAAACGTCTCACCTGCCTCAGCCGCATTTTCATCTCAAGATCGTCCGGTTCCAGGCCGAACTGTGAAACAAACGCAGCCACTTCAAAACGCCAGCAGCACACACACTCACTCAGGACGTCATCATGAATGATTGTGTGTTTGCAGTGTGAAGCGATGTGCGAGTGTGTGTCACCTCGAGGTTCATGGCTGGCTTGCAGGTGATGGCAGGATATTGATGATCAACATGATATCCACTTCCTCCTACTTGATCGACCCCCGTCGAGCTGAAGTAATCTGCTGCGCGCGTCGCCTGGAGGCCATCAAACCGTGAGACACGACGGAGACGGCAGGCTGCAGCGATCAGTAGCTAAACGTCTTTTTAAGCCGTACCCACACAATTGTTTAAAAAGACTGTGTGTCAAATGACTGACTGAGTCGTTGTACAGTGAGCCACTTTAGGGTAACTCACATTATCCATGTGATGGGAGATGGACCCAAAGCTGTCATCAATGCCATCAATGAGGACAAAGTCAATAAAGCCGATTTCAACTGATCATGCAAATTAAAAACGATACATGTCCTATTATTCTATGGGACATGATTATGATTATGGATTATGCATTGATTAATACTGCATTGAACTTGGGTTGCAACCAATTATTATCTCTCTCTACTTTGCTCATTATTAAGTATGGTTTGATCTTTAAAATGCTAAAAAAAAGGGGATTTTTAGGTGAAATCCTCCGAGATAACGCAACCTGGCTTTTATTGCTTTTCGCTATTTGGTTTGAAAGTAATGTTTTCAATAGTTGACATATTGTCTGTACTGTAACTTTCAGGATGACTTGAGTATATTCTGTGAAAATATCAGCTTGATAAGTAACAAACATTAGCTTAACAAATACATCAAGATTAAAAATACAAAATAAAACATTTTACAAATATAATACCTTAAACAACTTAATGTGTCCTAGGTTCTTATTTGTGGGTACGCTGTTTAAATGTATACCGGTGTTACTACGGCACCTAAAAACAGACTAAAACCAGTCAGAAGAGAGAGAACAAACAGAAGTGAAGAACAGACAAGAAGAACAGAGCGACTCTCACGTCCAGGCTGAAGACTTCATTGTAGCAGTGCGAGCTCCTCAGATACCAGGAAACGTCGAGCTCGACAGGTGGTGACCCGTTGCAGGTCTCTGACACCACTAAAAACAAGAAGGGGGGGACGGGGACGGGGACAATCTAGTTATATTACATGACATTTAGCTGACGATTTTATCCAAAGCGACTTATAATAAGTGCATTTCAACCATAAGGGTACAAACTGTCAGGATAACAAGAAACAAGAAAGTGCAATTTCATCAAATAAGCCGATTTACAACTTGCTATAGATAAGAACCACTACAAGTACAATTTAAGTGCTACAATTGCAACAAAATTGCAACTGCAACCAAAACTGTGGTTGTTGCTGCAGATGCAACTCAGTATAACTACAGTAAACCTCTGACAGATTTTCAGCATGCTGGAGATACGTGCTGTGTCCTCGACTTCACTCCAGGGTTCGCCGCCATTCTTTGTGCTAAGCAATGCGAAACACACCGATCGCAGGCACGATAAAAAGAAGCGTGAGCTGGACGGAGAACGCATGCACTTACCCTTGAGATAAATGGAGCTGCTGTTGAACAGAGTTTTAGTGTAGAAGAAGTAGTTCTGGTTCTTCAGAGTTTCCTGGAACAAACAAACAAAACACCTGATCAGACTTAGTGGGTGTATATAATGTATTATTGATTTCAAATATTGATTCAAATGGCAATTAGTTCTTTTGTTTCATTCATCCATAAGATGAAAAAAGCTGGAACCAGATAATGTTTAAATTATGCCAAAAGCAATTGATCAATCATCTAGTTAAATAGTTTAAAATGAATTATCACAAATTAATAAATTCCCATGAATCCACTAACACTAGTATCATAATGCACATTCAGGGGTGGCAGAAATAAATGAAAATAATAAATGTAACATGTGACTTGTAACAACACCACCTGAACCAAATACTCAATCACCTTTTTAACTCTCTCCATATCTCTCCATCCTGTTTAACTAGTTAGCAGCTAAGCTAACCTGCTCTGCTTCTACATCACCAACAACACCGACCACACAGCGAACAGGAGACTCACGCTGTCGATGTTCAGGGTCCACGTCCCCCGTTCGGACACGGCACCGACAGTCCCGACCAGCACCAGCAGCAGCACCGAGGACCAAAGAGCTGGTCCGGCGGAGGTCGACATTTGTGACCCAGGATAGAAAAGGAAAAAGAAACAGTTAAAACCAACGCGACGACTCACAACAAGCTCGACATTTCCTGGTTCCGGGTGACGTTGGCAACGAGCAATGATGCCTTCAGGGGTCGCCGGAAGTTTGAATGCAATTTTTTTCAATATGTTGTTGTTATGCATTTAAAAAATAAAACGATTATCTGTATTATTCCCACAGATGAACGCGGTGTTCTAGTTTCTAGCACAATAAAACAGCTAGCGTTAATATGATCAATTTTTTATTTTCGTTCGGTAGTAATTTCTTTAGCTTGAAAGAATTAACCGAATGTGGACGAACGCCCTGGTGTTGACATACATTGTTGTAGTGCCCCATAGTGGCCACCGGGGGGCAGCATCAACGCCGATTTGATCTCAATACGAGAAAACATATTTTAACAACTTTTTACAATTGGTGACAGCGCTTCTGGGGACCTTTGACACGTTTTGTTTTTGTCTCCTGTTGCGCTGTCCCGTCTGCTGCTGTAATCCTGCCAATGTCTCAGCTGTGGAACTAATAAAGGTCTCTCTCATTGTGACCACTTCAAAGCAATGAACATGATTACTATTAATATGTATGTTATTATATCAAAATGATTCAATTCATTTTTTTAATCTGTTTGTTTTGATTTAAGAGATATGAATAACCAGACAAATGGGAAGTCAACACGACTGTCAGAAGGTAGTTATCCAGCCGCCACAGCTCTGGACATGGAGGAATCTCTACCAGTTCTTTCTCTCTTCACATCAGAACGAGCACCTCTGCTGAGTGGGGCCTTAAAAGGCGTGGGTAAAGGTTTCTGCTGGTCGGTTCGGTCATGCCTGATATCCCATAATATCCTGGTCTGGGTAAAGCGGTGCCCGTCCTTCAAGGTGAAGCACATCGTATCCAGGTGGAGGACAACACACCTGATCATCTACTCATCAGAGTCAGAGAAACTGCAACAGATTTAGAATCATCATTCATTTTCACTTCCAACACTTGTGTTGTTTTTAAAGTTATAAAACAGATACAAATGTACAGTGATGACTCGATGTAGAGAACAGCAGCATCATCGTATCAAAAGGCTTTGTGAGTACTCGGAGCAGCGTTGCAGCGGAGAAGCTGCATTTCAATACAGCCGAAGGGACATTTCTGCCTTCTGTTGACCACGTGGGAGATTTTGGAGTGTGTGTTTAGGATGAACGTTCAAGTTTCCTTACTTACATTTATGGCAGAAACTCATTGACCCTTTGACCTTTGTGTCTTCATATTGATCTTTTGCATGCGTGGCATTTCAAAATATAATTGATGTTGTAAAGATAGTTTGTGTATAACTTTTGGTTCATTGATTGAGGAACGTTTTTCTCTGGCTGTTAGAATGATGAAGATAAGAACTGACCCTAAGAGACAAAATAAAATGAATATGCATTTTTCACTATTCATGAGAAGATGCAGTTCAATTCGTTTTATTTTGTATAGCCCAAAATCACAATTAACCAATTTGCCTCAGAGGGCTTTACAGTCTGTAAACATGCAACATCCTATGGACCTAACATGGGGAAAAAAGGGAAGAAACCTTAGACGTCAGAGGACAATGGATTTCATGTGTACAGAATGAACAACATGAACAGTAGTGTCTAGTATTTTTTAACAGTTCAGGGTCTTTGCATTAAACAGTAGTCATGAACAGATTTCCTTCGGTTCACGAGTACTACAGCACACAGGAATGCTGGTGCCAGTTAGGCGGATCATTTAGTAAGTGGTCCATAGACTTGATATCGATACTGTCTGGGTGGAACGGACCAACCGTTTCCTTGGGGACTTTGACAAAGGAAACCTCATCCATGAACTTCCCAAATACAGGCGGTTAGTTAAATGCTTCACCAGAGAGAAGAACACTCTGGACCACTGCTACTCAGCCCAACCCTAAACAGGGCCTATCACAGCGTCCCTCGTGCTGCACTGGGACACTCTGACCAGGCTTTAATCCATCTGATTCCTGCATACAGGGAGAAATTAAAACTCTGTAAGCCGAAAATCAAAGCAGGGGACCAGTGAGGCTAAGGCAGATCTACAGGCGTGTCTGGACTGTACGGACTGGGATGTTTAGAAGTGAGGATATGATTAAAGAGTCCAAACACAGGTCAGAGACGCCAAACGGCTCCAACACCAGTTCTCTTCTAACAACTGCCAGTGGAAAATGTTCTAGGTAGGGAAAACGTCTGCTCTCCTCCTGCTCGTCCGGCTTCCTTCCTTCCTTCCTTGGTCTCAATCAGGTGGCCTAAACACCTTCACCGTGGTGAGTCATGAGGCCTTCTGGGAGCTCTGGTTTCTTCCTTGGCAGCCATATTGTAGAGTGGCTGCTGATCCTTAAGGGGGAAGTAGCACCCATCTACCACCTGGCCCAGTGTGAGGCCACAATATATATGTAACAAATGTTGGACATTGTGTTATAATATTTACTGTATATCAGTTGTCAGTTTTCTCGTCCGCTTGAATGGCGATAAAATCCGTGCTCTTCTCCAGAATGTCATCCGCCTGGCGATACCTTGACCAAAACGTGCAAGTTTAGGGCAAAACCAATGTTGCCTCAGGCTGAGTCTATTTAAGGACGCTGATTGGCCAAATTGTATGTCACTTTTTTTTTTTACTCAACAATTGGCTAAAGTGATTGTCAGATCCGCCCTAAAATATTAATTGAAACATTCCATATTTGGAAAACACAAATATTGAAATTTTCAAAAATGTAATATTAGCTTTTTTTCTTTTTTTGGCGGCCTAAGAAGGGGCAACGCCCACTATTGGCCAGCCGCTACTGGACAAAGCCCCCACTCCATGAACGACCTCCGCCTGGCTAACGAACTGACTGATATCTACTGCGGCTTCGAAAGATAAAGAAAATCCTCAGTTATTAATTTCGGGTTCATTATCCTATCTGTGTGCATGTTTTAATACGTATATAGGTGTAACCGATTAATATGTGTTTTACACAATCAGAGTGAGGACAGACTAAATCCTCTTCGTAGATCTCCGTAGATGGATTTGATATAATCGGAGTCACTCCCATTTGTTGCTACTGAAGACAAAAACCTGTTTAAAAAACGTTCATAACTTTCATGTTTAAAGAGTCCTAAAACAACAAGGGCGTTGTTGTTCTTATCAAACTAACAAGAGGAAGTATTGCACTTATGTCTTCATAACAGTTAGCCATTATTTTAATTTTTTTACAAAAATACAGGACTTCCAACAACTTGATTTCATGTTTTTCATGAAAAAATATCTAACGCAAGATCTATTGTCCCCCGAGAAAGATCTGTATACTGAAGTTAAAACAAAGTGGGAAATGGAGCAAACGTATAGAGTGCAAATAAAACAGTAAAATGATAAGTAAGCTTCGTCTCGAGACAGACATGCCTCTCCTTCATGAGCCAACACCGTCATAGCAGCTTGTAATTCCTCTGTGTCTGAGTTTACCCCAGTTATTGTTTTCTCTCTGGGTTCTTTTTTTGTTGTTTGAATGTCCGATTCTGTGGACATTAGGACCTGGCGGCCGATTCTCCCTGTGTGTGTGCGTGTGTTTGTGGGCGTGTAGGGTGGGGGTTGGCCGGGTTGGTGATGCATTGAAAAAGAACTTGGATCTTTTCGCTCAGCTGGTTTGTCTGCCTGTGGAAGTGGGATCGCCCTCATCTCTCTCTCCGCCGGTCAGCCTCCCTCTCTCTCAGTGTGTGTCCTCTCTCTCCCTCTTAGCGGAACCCTCAGTCGCAGTAAGTAATGACATGCCTTTCCCTTCACGTTTTAGTCGCATATTTAGTTTAAATACAGACTCGATGTATTCTGGAGGAACAGCGAGTTGTGTTTGCTGGTTTCAGGAAGCGTTTCTTCTGCTTTGTGTGTGCGTGTGAGTCCTGTGCTGAAACTTGACACCGTACAGGTCATGTGAAGATACAAGCTTTGCATATTGTTTGATCCTGTCTCCAGTGTTGGAAAAGTATATAAAAAATGAACCACGCAGTGGAACAAATGAGCTAGTTGTACTTTACTTGACTTAAGGAGCGTCAGTGAAGGCCACTTCAACGAATTCAGCTGTTGACACAGCAACGTGTAGTAAAGCAGCTGAGTCACAGGGCGTAAGTTACTTCATTATACCGAAAAAGTAAACGTATTTATTATGCATAGCGCATATACTGTTTATGCATCAGTACAATGATTTGTACTGATGCATAAACAGTAATAGAGATATGACGCGTTTAATAACTATATATTAACGCTCCAGGAATTTGTTTGGTAACTGAAAAAAGCAATGGCAACTATTTTGATGATTGTTGAAGGAATAACCTTAGTTATTCAATGTAATTTTCTGAATGAATTGATAATGAACTAAATACACTGTTGGGTAATGAAGTGTATAACAATATATCATATTGTATGGTTCTATTTTATATTTTGATATGCAAAATCAAATGCAAATTGATCAGTAACCGTGAAAGTAAAACATTTCTCTGCTCTGAAACGTGAAGAAGCAGAAGCTTAAAGAAGTACCGGAGGGCATCAGGACATTCCTTATATTTATATTTATCATGTAAGTTAGTCAGCCTCGCAGTAAACAACAAATCAACAAGATAACTATTCTTCTGATATAACTGACCCGTGACCCCATTCATTAACACAACTGCCATTGGCTGATGTCATGTTATTTTCCTTTTTATAGTTTATATGTGTTTACATCTTGTTGCGTGAATAACTTTGTCCCTGATTTTATTCCTAACCTTTTCTTTATGTCGCTCTTTTTCAGACACACGGCAAAATGTTTTTTGCACGGAATTTAGTCAAAGGCATCATCGATGTTGTGAGGTGAGCAAACAAAAATTTTTTTTTCTAGCTGACTGTTTCCATATTGCTTTCAGTCTTTGTGCTAAGCTAGGCTAACCCTGTAACTGTCTGTGTACTGGTTGCACTGACTGGTCTTGTCACAGCTGCTCTCTGACTCCTCTCCTCTCTTTTTTTTGCTCTGTCAGCAACATCGACCCGGCTCAGTTTCAGTCCTCAGACCCTGTAAGTGTAACACCTCATGAAGCAGCAGAAGCTCCACCCGATTCTCACAAATCCTCCTCAAACACAAATGCTAATTTACTATTATTTAATACTCATTTGAATATTGGAACATCTGGAATAAAGTTCACAAACTGGTGATGATGATCATTATTATCATTTCCACCCAGAGATTCAAATGATTTGTCCACAGTTGTAATCTGATATCGGTATTGTAGTTATGAATAAATGTTCCAAGTATTCTTTGGTAAAGTCAAATGTCAGAAAGCTGTTTTTAAAGAATGTTGGCAGTATCTGATGACATTTTTTCTAAGATTCTAAAATCAGATGGAAATCTGATCGTGTCCTCATAGAAAAACACCTCTTAACTGTGAAACTCTGTATAGATTCAGGAGGTTTAATTCCACCTTCACTTCTCCCAGTGGAAGAGCAAACAAACACTCATTCCTCTGCCTAACACTAGCTCTTTGTGTGTGTGTGTGTGTGTGTGTGTGTGTGTTTGCAGCCTCCTCCTCGCAGACCTCTGAACTTTGCCGAATCTCATGAAAATGACGAGGAGAAACAATTCCGGAGAGTTTTCCAACAGCTGGCCGGAGAGGTGAGTCCTTTGTAATCAAGTCCTGTTCACGCATAAGCGTGCAGGCACTATTTCATCAGCAGATGGTAATGAAGTTGTTTTTCTTGGACAGTGTGTAGGATTTGAAACAACGCTCGTGATCGTAAACGTGTGTGCAGACTTTACATTTCATCGTAGTGACTTGCGACACCTCCGCCTGTCTCTCATACGTTTCGCTGCGCCCTGTTTCAGGAGTTTCTGGTTTTCTTTGAGCCAAAGCCTTTGTTGCCATTTCAGTACCCAAGTCAAAGGTTTTAGCTACTCGGCAGGTTTAGTGAAGACTCGTGTGTGTCGGTGACACAGTTCTCCCTCCTCTCACCTGATCCTTCGTCCTCTCACCACACCTGCCTGCCTGCTGCATTCCAAACTCCACCCTGCTGCTGCCCTCCTCGCTCTCTTTTACTCACTTTATCTTGTTCATCAACATCCAAAACCGGTCTGTTTCACACCTGTTTTTTGTGCACATTGCAAACTGTCTGTAATGTTGTGTTGAATTATATTTTTTTTACTGAACTTCATCCCGAAAAACATTATACAGAACACAAAAGGGCGCCAATAACAAAAGAAAGTTATTTTCTACTGAACCCTTTTCGACTAATTGTAAAAATTGAGCATATCGCAATGACGATAGAAACAAGAAGCGTCAATAAAGCCTGAATCCTTTTTAAACAATTAACTACTTACCAAGGAAATCGGACAGGTTTTATTTCCTTTCGGTTTGTACGGCCTAAACAGAGCATTCATATCAACAGAGATGACATGAGATGACTTTGACGTTAGTCAGGGATGGAGGAACCTTTTCAGGAAGCCTTATAATGCCGCATTAACAACAAATTGGATTTTCAGCCTTGTGAAATCAAATCAGAGAGATGAGAACAAGGAATTTATACTTCTGTAAATATAATTAGTCAATTAAAACACACAATTTGATGACCTCAGTGCTGGTTTATCCTGATGCAAATCTTTCGTGGGTCACTTTTTGTGTATTTGAATAGTACAATAATAAATAATACAGTCCCCTCTTTGGTTCAGAGCGGCATATTGGGACAATGAGGGAGGAGGCAGAGCGACGCTCATGACCAAATGTGAACATATCAGCTGGACATCAGAACAGAGATAAACAGAGACTTCATTCACTGTGTCCTCGGCACCAGGAAGTGTTGGAAAGAGAGCTCTTTCTCTGCATTCCTGCCATTGTCTGGCAGGGCGGAACCCGAGCCTGAGGGGTGTGCGCGTGTGTGTTCATATAATGTGTGTCTGAGGTTTTTTCTGACTCATCAGAGGCATTTGTGCACCAGTTAGACCAGAACTCCGCCCAGTGTCAGTGGGCGAATCCTTCTAAAGCAACAGCAGCTATAAGGCGGATGATGAAGAGGGTGAAGAGGATTGTAGTAAAGTATCTGTATGAAGTGAACAGGCCGCTGTGACGGCTCAGCTCTTACCTTGAATTCCTGAAGAAAGAAAGCATAAGTGAACGAGTGTTAACAACGAAACAATTCCAAAACAGCTGTTTACAAGCTCCCACACAACTTGGGCAGGATATTCAGCTACTCAGTTAAATCTTTCACCCTGGTTTTATTCCCTATAGTAAATTATTTCTGATCATGTAAAAACAAATGCATTCAAATGAATCTGTACAGTTTCACCACACAGATATGTATTTTAGGAATGAGTTGAGACATTCCTTGACCAACGAGGGACAGCATGGCGTTGCCTCATCGTATTTGGAAACAGGGGGAATATTTAAGCGTTGTTTTGAGGCGTTTTGCTTTTTTTCAGCAGTGAGTCAGAAGCTGGAAAAATATCAAAGGAAATAAAAGGAAACAGCTTGAGTTTGGTTTGAGTCACACTCAGATCTGCTGTGACTCACTTAGTTTGTGGGGTTTCCTCTTTGGAAACCCAAGCACGAACACCCTGTTTTTAAAGTGTGTGTGTGTGTGTGTGTGTGTGTGTGTGTGTGTGTGTGTGTGTGTGTGTGTGTGTGTGTGTGTGTGTGTGTGTGTGTGTGTGTGTGTGTGTGTGTGTGTGTGTGTGTGTGTGTGTGTGTGTGTGTGTGTGTGTGTGTGTGTTTCAACAGGACATGGAGGTGAGCCCCGTTGAGCTGATGAACATCCTCAACAAAGTGCTTGGCAAGCGTGAGTCTCCTTGTCGGTTTCTTACTGCATTCTTCTAACTGGCAATTCTAATTGTTTTACCTTCTGAGACGTTGGGTTCTCTCCAGTGTTCCTTGCTGACCATTTTAATTTGAAGATTGACTCGGTGAATGTTTGTCTGTAAATGTGTTCAGATGGAGGCCTGAAGACGGACGGTTTCAGCATCGAGTCCTGCAGGAGCATGGTCGCTGTCATGGACGTATCCTTGTAGTACCAGTAGTGGCACTTAGCAATACCACTTTCTGTAGAAGGAGCAATGACAGCAGTACTTGCAGCAGTTGTTGTAGCAGTAGCAACAGTAGTAGTAGTACTAGTAGCAGTAGAAGTAGCGGAAGTAATTGTATCTTTAGTTGGGTTTGCAGAGCTATGTCCTAACTAGAAGGTAAAGACCTTTGACCCGCCTCCCTTCAGAGTGACCGCACGGGTAAACTGGGCTTCCACGAATTCAAATACATGTGGAACAACATCAAGAAATGGCAGGTCTGTTTGTATTCTTCTTCTTTTACTCTTTTTTTTAATTTTATTTTTTAGAGCTGAAGCAGTTTGTGTGGTTCCACCGAGTTGATTATGTGTTTGTTGTTTACCGTCTTCAGGCTGTCTATTTAAAGTACGATGCAGATAGTTCCGGTACAATATCCGCTGATGAACTTCCAAAGGCCTTCAATGCTGCAGGTGAGAAAATGTGTGTGTTTGTTTTTGTGCGTGTGCGTGTGTGTGTGTGTGTGTGTATTTGTTTAAAGAACCAGGAATCAGTGTGAACCAAGTGTACGGTTTACACAACTAACTGTGTGTTTGCAGGTTTCCCTCTTAATGACCAGCTGTACAAGCTGATTATCCGTCGCTATAGCGATGAGCACGGCAGCATGGACTTTGACAACTTCATTGGTTGCCTGGTGCGACTCGACGCCATGTGCAGTAAGTCTTTTTTTTATACACATTTCTTTACAAAATGAACCACAAATACTGTATGTCTTTTCAATAAAAATAATTTAATAAAAGATTCTGACAGTTTGTTTCAAGTTGGGAGCATTTCACACCTCCTACCTTGATCAATGGGCCTGAATGTTTAAATAAAATGTCCAAAGAAAGGAAAAGAGTTTTTTCCTGCTTTTTCTTCGGATAATAAATATAATTGATCCTTCCTTATAATATGGATTTTATAAAATGCTATGTATTATTTCAACATCAATTAAATGATAGGAATTAAATCGGTCGACTGCTGACTCTTTATTTTAGGTTTTTCAATTTTAATTAAAGATGAATAAGTCTTAATTAGGCTAATCAGCTATTGTAGTTGATAAATGTGTGTGTGTGTGTGTGTTGTGCAGGAGCCTTTAAGACCTTGGATAAGGAAAACAAGGGCACCATCGACCTGGACATCAAGGAGGTAATAAACTCTTCAAACTTCACTACTTTTCTTTTAATCAATTATTATAAATCAAGATTTACATTAACCATCCCAAGGGAAATGTTAGTGCACCAGTCGTGGTACAAAGGGTGCATCTCAAATCTCAATTTGATTAAATTATGATCAAATGTACTATTGTAATTATCATAATAATCCCTTCATAACAACAACAAGACAACAACCCTCTGCATCTTTGTGGTGTAGTAGAGTAAACATTATCTATGAGATACTGTCAGGTATTCAAATATAAGCAATGGTTTTATTTAGGATGACCACACAGATATTATGAGAAGTGCAATAATCAATCTAATCATAATTTGTGTTTAGGGTTTTCTAAGTGCAGCAGCTGTACAACATCTTTCTTTGGGATAATTGTCTTTATTCATATCTGATTCTTTCTGATAGACAACGTGTACTATTAGTTTTACCACAGAGAGCACTGAGCTCAACCATCTACCTTTTGACCGATGTTCACTTCTGGCATGTTTTAGGAGAATATCAACTGTCAAAAAATAAAGACCATTTTTCTTTTTCAAACTCCCAAAATGTCTGTGACTGTTAAAGGGAACAATCTGATTGTTTCAACGTTAATATTATGTTAATATATGTCGTCTTCTGTTATCTGGATTATGGAGGCCGGCCAGTAAGAATAACTTTTAGTGAGACTCGAATAGAAAATAGACCTGAAAGTATAAAAGTAAGATTAGATTTTTTGTGGAAATGACCAGAACTAAATATAAGCAGTACTTCAGATGCCTTTACTCTGGTACTCCACCACATCTCAGAGGGGAATATTGTACCTTGATACATTGTACTACTTCTATAAAATATACAATGTACTTATATACAATTGTACTACTTCAATATTTTTGCTAAAAAGGAAAAAGTGCACGGTAGCTGTGACTAGGGGTGTGAACGTTAGATACTGATGGGAGTTCCATACATGGTGCCGTGTTAATGGCAGAATCATCACATGTAGTGCTGTAAGTGGAATATAGTACAATCTATTTAGCAGTGATCTGAATATACGTATACTAGTGTTGAGAAAATCCTCCTGACTTCAGCTAAATAAACTCTTTAAAAAATGTCTTGGATCAGATTGAAAATGCATCAGATATATGTGGTTCTTACAGGACAGCGCTACTACAAACACACATGTGATGAGCTTATAGAATATGATGTATTGTTGTAGATTAAACGAGCCCGGAGTGTATACAGGAATTAAAAGACGTGAAAAGCAACTTGCACACTAATGGAGTCACTGGTATTAATCCAGAAACTTCATGTATAATTGTAAGACATGGAATATTCTATTGCTCAATGTATCATTTTACTGAAGACGTACTTTCCTTGCAGTGGAGTATGTTTACAGTGTGGAATTAGTACTTTCACTGGAGTAAAGGAGCAACATACTGGAACACTGGAAATGCTACTTGTTGCCCATTGAGTGATAAACCTCTGGGGATCAAATCATATTGGACGTTGCAGAGCTACTTTGGCACTAACACTTTGTCTCTTTCTGTCTCTCAGTGGCTTCAGCTGACGATGTACTCGTGAAGCGTTGGAGGGAAGCTCCTTCAACAAAACCCTCTTCTCTTCTTTCATCTCATCCCTCCCTTCCTCCCTCTCATTACACTCATGTGTGTGTGAAAACCCCTTCGTTATCATGGTAACGGGACCAAAATGTCAGAGTTAAACAGAAGTAGAAAAATCCCACTTGGACCAAAGTGCAAGCGACCAAAGCAGAGCTGACGCTGCTGATGCTGCTGACGCACCATCACGCTGCCGCCAGGCGGTGGTGCCACACCACCCCCATCTTCCGGATATCTATATTCAGATTTTAATGTAAAAGTTTTAGATGGTCTTGATTTTTTTATCATGAAACAAATAAATTGACACAACTGACAATTCCGTGTTTTTACAGTTAGTTTGTGAGTCTGACTACTTGGTCTGGATTTTTATGCTTTTGTTGTGTGTTTTTTTTCTCAGTTCAGCCTTTGTGGACGTCACGAATCATACGTACGGTCCAAAGCTTTTTCTGTTCATTTTTAACAGGCTTTTCATAATTTACTGTTAATATAGCAGAAATGGGATTCCAGGTTAAAACAAATCTAGTGCTGTCAATGGACAAATTAAGTAATTAATCTCACATTTTGAAATTCATTAATTGCAATTAAAGGTTTGTTTTCTTCTAAAGTCTAAATCTTAAACTTTAGAAAGCGTGTATTTTAGACACAGTTTTTTAATTGTACGTATTTTAAACACAAAACTACACACATTGGTCATCTCCATCTCTCTGGTGTCACAGTTTAGCGCCATTTCTTACCTGGGGGGTTCATTTCAGGAGGGTCGCAACATAAATTTACACGGTCGCAATTTCTTCTTTTTCTTTTGATTTTGTTTGTGTCTGTTACATTATCACATTACATGTCATTTAGCTGACACTTTTATCCAAAGCGACTTACATTACATTTTTAACCCATGGCTTTTTACATTTTTGCCTATTGACATTAAAAGATTGTAAATGTAGTTGAACTAGTGAAATCAGAGAAATGATCATCCCTTTGCTTTCAGTCATAATATGAACATAGTCGGGTTAATTTATAAGTAATTTGAGTAACATGATTTTGTGAGGTCATTTGTTTCATATCTGGCCTTTATTATGTATAGAAGGCTTATCTTATTTATGTATTTATATCAGATTACACCGCACACAATAGTGTGTCTGTGTGGGTATTTAGTATTTATTACTTTCTATGTTGATGTTTTATATCCCCCATGACGCTCTGACTTGGAGCTTAGTGTACCGACGCTGTGGTGCGTTTGGTGAGGGGGCGGGGCCGGCCGGTGCTGGAGGAGGGGCGGTGCAGAGCAGAGGAGGTGCTGGGGAGGGAAACAGATACAGGTTTCAACGGGAACAACAGGTTTCTGCGGATGTTTTACATAGAACGATCTGGACAACCAACAAGAGAATCCAAAGAAGAGCCTGTGAAAGGTAGGAGGCCTGATCTATGTCCTTATTATTCCATCTGAGCAGACTCTATTCAAAGACCATATATATATATACACACATACATACATGCAGTACATATATATCCTACTGCCGTCTCAGTTCACTTCAACTCAAATTGGTGAATCGATAAAAAGCCTCAATATGAGTTGAGTGGGAATTTTAAAAACGCAGCGAGGGGTTGATATATAGTTTGAGGGTTTCAACACTGTCATGCCAGGCAAAGTCAGACTAGATGAGTTCATTAACTAATGAGCATAAATTAATTATTAGGTATAAAAGTTTTCTTCCAGTGTTTAATATCACAGAAACACATCTGCCCTTTTACGCCCTTTTATTTTTTAAATTTCTTCTTTTTAAGATAAATACCACATCGTGCATCGCTCTTCAACTTCTATCAATCATAATCTCTTTTCCTTTAATTTAATGCATTATTCATATTTGAAACATACATTACTTGCAATTAAATGTAATCTGAATGTTTATGAGTAGGAGTAGATTCCCATTGGGATCTCTGTTAATAGTCAAAGCCTCCACTTAGAGATGAAAATGAAGATGAAATATATAAACAATCTAGTGGTGTTCAACGAGCAAACAGCGCAATTCATCGGGGGGAGGGGTGGAGAAGGGGGGGCGGGGCAGCGTAAATGTGAGGTCACAGTGTGCAGCAGGTGGCAGGAAGGCTGCGTTGTTTACTATAGGATGTCGACCTGTCTTACTGTTGACTCTGGGCCGTGATGCCTGACAAGATGGGGGGGCTCTGCTATAGCGACATAAAGTGAAATATAAGGAGGAATGCAATTTGCAATCACATATAGAGTAGTAGAGTATTTGACACTGATTTCAACAAACACATAACGCACCTTTTGTAATTTGTAATTTTCAGTAGGCCATAAAGCAATTTTCACATAAACCTTGGTTTATTGTATCGCACTATTTTACAAGAATGCTTTGACAATAAAGGGAGCAAACATTGAAACATTTGCTGCAACTCAGTGCGGGCGGCACGGTGGTGTGGTGGTTAGCACCGTTGCCTCACAGCAAGAAGGTCCTGGGTTCGATTCCGCCCAGTGGCCTTTCTGTGTGGAGTCTGCATGTTCTCCCCGTGTCTGCGTGGGTTCTCTCCGGGTTCTCCGGCTTCCTCCCACAGTCCAAAGACATGCTCTGGGGATCAGGTTAATTGGGGACTCTAAATTGCCCGTAGATGTGTGAATGTGAGTGTGAATGGTTGTGTGTCTCTGTGTAGCCCTGCGATTGGCTGGCGACCAATCCAGGATGTACCCTGTCTATCGCCCGAAGTTGGCTGGGATGGACTCCAGCCCCCCCGCGACCCTGAGTGCAGGATAAGCGGTTTGACAATGGATGGATGGATGGCTGCAACTCAGTGCGAAGTTGTTTGTAGATTCTTTATATTGCGATGTATTATTCCACCAACTATTACTGTTGTCTTTAGACACTGCAACAAATTCTCCTGTGTTGGGCTTCAGTTGTGGTGTTTGCGTCATGCTTCATTTTGTCTCTGTTGTCATTCAAAAACGTGCAAAACTTCTGTCAGATGCTCAAAAAATCAGCAGGACGAAGATCAATTTGGAAATAGTTCCTAGAGAGAACCAACTTTATAGAAAAAAAAGTAGATATCAAAGATCTGGACTCTGGGGTGAAGGTGAGCGTTTTCATTAGTTTAATTACGTGATTAGCTAAACAGTCCACAACAGTCCCTATTTTGGGGTTAGAGTTCCTTCTCTGTTTTTGCGGGATTCTAATTTGCACCAAAGAGCATCAAGCGTCTCTCTTCTCCTTCTCCGCTGCCCCTCCTTCCTCTTCTGTATTGCAGCAGGTGGTGATTAGTGGTCGGGCCTAATTAGAAGGCTGATAACATAATGTCTGAAAAGAACAGTGGGTGTGCGGAGAAGCTGCAGTGGGCGGGGGTGAAGAGGGGAACCCAACTGAATGAATCCGTGGTAATGATACCCCTCTTGTAAGTGCAGTCTGCAGTAATATGGTGCCACCACACAGGACAGAAATCAATAGGCTTCAAGTAGAAAAGAACATTTGGACACTGGTATACCTGAGCAACAGTTTTTGTCGTCGTATTGTTCTTGTGATGTGTGGAGGGGACTATCCTGGTGAAACAAAGTGAATGTTTTTAGATGAGACCTGCGTCCCATCTTTGTGCTCCACTCTGTTGACAGTCATTATAAATAATCACAGTGTCACTCTGCTCTCCAGGTGCCAAATCCACCTGATGCTGCCGCCTAATCTGGTCACCCGGGATTGAACACACACACACATACACACGTAGACGTAGGGACGGCCAACATGGCGTCCGACGCGCCCATCCTGTCAGAGCAGCAGGAGCTGCAGAGGAGAGCCAACCAGGTCACGGATGAGGTGAGGAATGGACACTTTTCTAGAACATCTCAGGCTGCCCTCCGAAGCTGCCTCGAAAAGCCGCTTATTTCATTTATTAACGTTTTCCTCATGATGAAGGGAGCCCAGCCCATTATGTGGCTTTTGTCTTCCCCTTTTGACAAAAATATATCTTCTATCCAAAACAAAGATATGTTTATGTTTATTTTTCAGCTTCTCCAGCCCTGCGACAATCAACATGTTCACTTTTTACTGTCAACAGTCAACATATTTTTCAAATAGTCAAAAAAGAATGAAAAGGGTTCCCAGAGCCTGAGGTTACTTTCTGCAACAAGTACCTTGTTTTATTCAACCGACAGCCCAAATCACATAGTTACAGGTTTTATTATGTTAAACAAGGAAGAAAAGCAGCAACGGCAGAGGGTTTTTCTTTAGAAATTGAACTTAAAGACGTTTATCATTAAAGGCGGATTATCTACCTAAGGGGTTATTGATAAATGGTCCCCTTATGAGTGACATAGTCAATAAAGCAGGCTTAGGGTTACGTTTAGGAGGTGTGATTGACAGGTTGCTATCACGACGTCGTCCGTTATTTCATATAACCCTTTCAAAGTTAATTGTAACGTCTACCTACAAATATCTTTTTAATAATATTAGTTTCTCATGTTGAGTGACTGAGGACAGTAGCTGTAGTGTCTAACTGTCATAAACCTTTCAACACACAGAGAATTATGGCAATTACATCAACGTCTGGGCGCAAAAAAAGATCATGATAATCGAAGGGACAGAGACTATATATCACAGTAGTATCATTGTTCCGTTTATCGAGCATCCACTCGGTAAAGTGTTCCTCCTAACTGGACTCTCTGTGTCGTCTGCTACTGGCCTGATCAAATCTAATGTGCTCATGAAAACAGTTTCAGACGTCAACATGGTCAAACCTTTGAGCCTCTGTCTTGGGGTTTGGCATGATATACGTATAAACCATGTTGATGTGTATTGTTGTTCATGAGAATTTCTGGTTTCTCACAACAAGTCGTGTGTGACAGAGAACTCTGCTCTGTCTGCGGGGAGAGTCCCTGTAAGGCACCTGGCTCACCTGGTTGCCATAGAAACAACTGGTCTCCCAGTGCTACCATCTGTGGAGGAGACATCAGCCATGGATGAGCTCATGCACTCGGCGAGGGGCGGTGCTGAACACTCACACACACCGCTGGGTTTGAAGGCCACTGCCGGTCAAAGCCTTGTGACACCTCGGTGGGGAACACCCCGGGGATTAATATGATATTTCCACAATACACTCTCACACACACATAGACACATACACACACAGCAAGGGCCGGAAAGACTGGAGAGGAATTGTCTATGTGGGAGATTACAGCGTAAACCCGAGTCATTATGTTTGCTGTGTGTTGAGTTTCTTAAAATTCAGGTGAAAACAGCAGTTGAAAGTCCAATCTGCATATAATGACTCTACAGTATACAAACAACATGTATATCATTATAAAGGTTTGATATACAAACCGAATCCGCACTTACTACTAAAAATAAAAGTAAAAGATAACTCAGAAAATGTTAAAGACCTGTCAATCAGTTTGGGAATGGTAGACACTAACCAGAATGTTTTTAGGATATACCTTATTTTGTCGGGCCGTCATTTCCTGGGAAGGAAAAATACTGTAGGCCAACTTACGAGGAAAAGGCAAGATAAAAGATTTTATAGATAGATATGGATATTTTGTGGTACGTTTTAATAGCTTGATGCGCCATAGAGGAATTTCCTTTGGATAATTTAAATGGTGAATTCATTATTTATAGTAGTTGAATTATATAATTGCCTGTAGAAAAGTTGCATATTGAGTGGGCTGTATGTTGAAGCATCCATTCTGTTTGTCTTTCAGACCCTGGAGAGCACAAGGCGGATGATGCAACTGGTTGAGGAGGTGCACACACATACACACACACACACACACACGCACACACACACACTACACACTTATAGATAAATATTTGGAAATAAAGAACATGGGCGGCTTACAGCGATGAAACCTCATAGAGACAGAGCACCATGTAATGTATCCTCCTTATGTATGATTCCATACATGACGTGTCCACAGGAGGAAACACCCAGACGTGGTCCATCAGCAAGCTGCTTTTCACGGAGTGGCTGCTGGATCATGACAGCTGGATGTGGAATCTGTAATCATGTGACTCTCTGTGCTCCTTCCTGCAGAGTAAAGACGCCGGGATCAGAGCTGTGGTTATGCTGGATGAACAAGGAGGTAATTAGTTCAACTAGCTCCCTCTCTAAATTCTCCTTTGTTAAGACTAGTTCACTCTCTCATCTGTGAGTTAAAAAAAACCCTCTGTTTTACACTTGTGCTCTGATATTTCACTTTTGCTTCAAATTGCAAAGATCAGTAGACCTTTAATCTCTGCTAGCTTTATAAAACAGGAAGCAGGGCAAAGAGTTGGATTGTTATTGTTGTCACATATACAGATTCATTATTCTCAGACAAGTTAGCTTCTAGACATCTCAGCAGTGAGTCCAACGAATGATTCCTAAGACAGTGTTGTCTGGAACGTGAGACCACTCAGGGACAAAACGTGAGCTTTCATGTATGGGGACTGTGAGCAGTGGGTGAACGTGTCCTCCTGAACCCCCCTGTGGGTTGAAACCATCGGCAGCATAGACCCAGTGCCATGAAACCTGTGTTCCTCACAGAGCAGTTGGAGTGCATTGAGGAAGGGATGGAGTCCATCAGCAGGGACATGAGGGAGGCCGAGAAGAACCTGGCAGACATGGCCCAGTGCTGTGGTCTGTGCATCAGGCCTTTCAGGAAGTAGGAAGCGCACCTCGACCCAACTGGTGGCCTGAAAACAACTCACTGATGCCCAGTTCCATTAAATTAGCTTGAATAAGAGTTTTTATTGTGAATTTGCTTTCATAATGAGAACACCAATGTTATGTTAGATCCATCCAGCCATCCACCCACCATCCCACCCATCTATCGACCCATATGTAGAATTTGAAATTTGAAATAAACAAAGAATGACACATTTTGATCAGGCCAAGTTGGAAAAGCTGTCTTTTAACAAAACATAACTGTTGTCATCAAAGTAACTCCATAAGTAACGATCCAGACGATGTACAGGTTATTTAATGATGTTCTTTATTTCATCAATATGGGCTGAAGTGATTTGTCGATCTAAAGCTTTCTGCCCTCAGATATTTCTGTATTTTTAGACTTTTCTGAATTCCACAATTACCCCTGGAGGAGGTTTAAGGACATGGAGACACATGTGAGAGAAAAAAGGGAATAAAGTAAGGGGACAATGATTTGGGGCAAGTTAAAATAGAATAAATCAGTAGATTAATGCATACACACACTTCAATATCTGCACTCAAATATTTTCAAAAACGTAATTCACTATCATTCTTTCCAAGAATTAAACACTGTTTTGCAGTTGGGTTTACTGAGTTATAGAACGTGATGGAACTGGGCCCCGAGGTAGGGATGCAACCAGCGCTCGTCCCTCCACTCCTTCTCGGTGTCCACCTTTATTCTGCCTTTCCTCCCCCCTCCTCCCTCTCCTCTCATAGAGCAGTTGGAGCGCATAGAGGAGGGCTTGGATCAGATCAACTCCGATATGAAGGAGGCAGAGAAGAATCTGACGGACCTGGGCAAGTGCTGTGGCCTCTGCTCCTGTGATAAGTAGGTGGTGTCAGACCTTTCCAGCACACCCTTTCCCTGCTCTAGCTTCCTTTTGTGGCCCACCTGCGTTGCTGTATTGATTTTCAGCCGCTTGGATATCATCTTACAGCATGTTTGTCGTCTCTACTGTACGAACGGACCACTGATGTACCCACAATGGACAGGTTCCGCGCATGCATGGCCTTAAAGATACTACTCCACTAAAGCTTGTATCACAATAGAATAGTAAAAGTCTGTACTGCAGCTCTGAGACCAGTGTGGGTGGAGAGTGGTCCCAGGGGCATCACATTAAAAAAGTGATAGTAAATTGTACATTCTCTTTCTCTCTCACTTAGACTGAAGGCCTTTGAGGAAAGCGGGGCGTACAAGGCAGTTTGGGGCGGAGGATCTGGTCAGGACGGCGTCGTGTCCAATCAGCCACCGTCGTCTCGAGTGGTGGATGAGAGGGAACAAATGATCATGAGCGGAGGACACATACGAAGGTGGAGAGAGAGAGAGAGAGATGAATGCTTATGGTGTCTGTTGTGTTAGGAGAGGCAGCTGTGTAATGTAATACCACCAGCCGTTAGTCACACAGCAGCAGTCAAACACAAGACGTAACCACACACACACACACACACACACGATATTTACTCTGATCTATTCCAGGGTGACTAACGATGCCCGGGAGGACGAGATGGAGGAGAACCTGGTTCATGTCGGCAGCATCATTGGGAATCTGAAGAGCATGGCCCTGGACATGGGCAACGAGATAGACACACAGAACGTCCAGATCGAGCGCATACAGGGAAAGGTCCTGCCGGGCACATACGTCCACTTAGCCAGTTTCAGGAAACATCTCAGCGGGCCACAAACAATGGGAACACCATCACAAACTGTTCTTTTTCTTTTTTCTCTCCCTGCAGGCTATACTCAACGTGTCCCGCATCGACGCTGCCAACCAGAAGGCCAACAACCTCATCAAACGATAGAAGGAGCGCGCTTTTATTTCACTCTTCTTCTACTCATTCGCCCTTCTAGCAATTAGCCGATGCTTGCGCATGCTTTGGCAAAGTGCTGCTGGCCTTACTCTCTGCTCTACACCAGGTGTTTTTTAGTAGTGTTTTCTTTTGTGTGACATTATTGCTGCGTTTTTTTCAATTGGACCGATTCTCAGTTGTGAGTTTGATACGGGCATGACAAAATAATTTGGCGTGTCATGTGATTCTTTTATTGATATCACAACAGGGCGTCGCTTAAGTTTTCCCCTGTGAGGTGGCCTCTGTGGTCACTTAGCAGAGTTATATTATACGGAGCTTCAATAATGCCTGTAGGCCAAACTGGGTCACTGCACCAGCAGCAGAGAGTAGAGTCGAGTTAGATCAAGAAGTACTTCCACAAGAAAAACGACCCCGCCGAAGAGCGGCTCTGTTGGTCCTGTATTTGACTTCTATCGGGAGATAATTAAAAGAAAGAAATAAAAGCTCTGATAACCATGTCCAGGATATATGTCCACATCTCCACAAAGATCCTCCTTCTGTGTATTCACCTACACATCCCTCTCACTCTATCTAGAAACGCTCGATAGAGGGTGAAACACGTGCGTGATGGCGCCCTCTGCAGGCACTGCTGGGTATTGCCTGGGAGACAGAAACACGTATTCTCTCCGAGGGGAAGATCTCTGGCGACACCAAGAGGACGAGCATGGAACCTGCCCTTCTTCTTGGCCTCTCCATCTTCTTTCCACATTGATATAAAATGGTGGTGAAATGACGATGATGTTTTTGGTGACCATCAAAACTTATGAGTCACAGCATTGACCGATTCTGATTTTGTGCTTTGTTCAATGTATTTTTCATTAAAGCCAATGGGCTCACATTGTTTCAGCAGCTGCTTTGGACGTTCAGAAACATTCGGGTTTGACCTACATGTGACGTGGCGTGACCTTTCTGCTGGAATTAAGATACTTTTGTGTGGTGTGTTTACTTTAAAACGTTCCTAGTTATTAGTGTGGTTATTATTAATATTCTGTCACAATGAAGCTGATGACCTGATAACCACACAGCTGGTTGTAGATCATTATGCTCAATGGCGTAACTAGAGCGTGTGCATTGTAGTGGCGTGCTACAATCCAAAGTTCTGAATAATAGCAGGCCCTTGATTGGGTCAAGGGTTGTCTAGGTGGATACTCTGCACCCAGAGGACAATTTCCCAAACGTTTCTCCAATGAAATATAAACAATAGTGTTCTTTGCGTAGAATGTGTGCGTATTTCATTGAGAATGGTAGTGATTGGTGCACGCTGTAACTGGGGCAGCTGGGGGCGCGCAGCAAGCTGCAAAATGTTGCGCGTTCAAGGGAGAAAAAAAAAATTCGGAGTCTGCGCAGTTCGGTTTTTCTCGACACTCCGAACTTTCGGGAGAAGCGACGGAGGAAGGAGGGGAGAGAGAGAACAACGCCATTTTCCCCCGGTAACTATTCTCAACACTTTCAGCGCGTTTTAGCACCTCACGGCGCGAAGGATTGCCGTGAACAGACCGCAGCAGAGACCGACAGTGATCGCTGCGATGAGAAGAACCGCCGCGTAGCAACGGGGCCGGCGGACATGTCCGAATCGAGCTCGGCCCACGAGCAGAACACGCGGTTACGGTCCTCGATAAATCCTCGTATGTTTACCGAAACTCGACGTGGATCCCGTGTCGCCGCTTCGGCGCTGCGTGGCGGTACGTTAGCATAGAGCGATGGAGGAATCGGTCACGGCTGCTTGTGCGCGATCCGCCAGGCACGAGCTCAACAAAGACACGAGGAGACCCGCGCTCATTGGCTGAGACGGACCACGTGGTCAGCGCAAACGCAACGTTGATTCACAAGTTCCTCCTAATTATTACTGACTTGCTCGTTTCCTACGCATTTTGACTCCACGCATCACCGCTACACAGGCGCGTGCCTAAGAAAACAACATGTTTAAAATAATGCCTCAAATGTTACATTAATGTAGCTTCAACAGGCGGACACAGTTAAGTGGGCAAATGTATTTACTTTGATAACTATTTTTTATTGGAGGTTTTCAACATAAAAATAGCAGTATGGGGTGACTGATAGAAACTTTCCCTTTACCTGCATATGTATAAGTTCCTCTAGGACGAGGAACTGTAGCTGTCCCTCCAATGTCGTTTGCTCGGCCTGTGAACAGATTTTTCAAGCCATTTGCAATCTTGTTTAGCTTAAAGAAGAACCCTCTGTTTTTTTGGGGGGGGGGTTGAAGATGAGCTTTGCCGAAGGAAATTTCCCAGATTTCTTCTGTCCTTATTCAGCTGAGATCTTTGTCTCTGTATTTCCTTTCAGTCGCCAGGAATCAGGAAACATTTATTGCCAAAATATGTCATACATACAAGGAATTGGTCTTGGCGGTTGGTGCGTGACAGTAGACAGTAGACAACAAGTAATAAAATAAAATGAAATGCTAATGCTATGGGTTAGTAGAATAATGCTATGGGTTAGTAGAATGAGGCTATGGGTTAGTCAGGTTGAAGTGATGCAGTGTTCTCTGTGTACTCTGATTCAAATTCAAACATGACTTTCTACAAGCTAATAGCATTCAGAATGTAGCCTGAAGATCAATTCTCGTTTTCAAACGTTGTTTTCGTTCACACAAAATGGTATTAAAAGAGGGACAAACGCTATTAATGACGTGCTTTTAAACACGATGATGCAGTCGTTATCTAAATAGGCTTAATAAAACAAATTCTTTCAGAAGTACGAGTAAATATCCTCTCGCATTTGCTCTTTACGTTGCTTTGCCTCGAGGTCTGTGATCACAAACTCCATAGTTTACCCATCTTTAATTTTACCACTACAGCCCTAACCAGGACGGAGTAGTGTAAAAAAAAGTATTTCAAGCGGCTCAGGCACCGGAAGGATGCGCCATATTTGCACTGGGTTTTGGTACCCGACCCTGGTGGCAATGCTATTCATCTAATGAAGAACACGCGTTAGTGTGTACGAGGATTTTTGTGCATAATTGTTGCATAATATTTATGCAAAAAATGGCTTTGTGTATTGTTTGGATATATATAGTTAATACGGGTAGTTGAGGCTATTCATCCGCTTACATCTGAATATTACAGTACCTTTTATATACTACCTCTGCACGTCCTTCTTTCTTGAGAGGGGATGTTTTGGTTGGTCAAAATCCACATCCCTTACTTAGTGTAATATATATATATATATATATATATATATAGCTAGCATTAAAAATCAAGGTAATAATAATAAAGTAGATTGAAAGATCTGACATGAGTTTCAGAATAAGAGCTGGTATTTGGCCGAACCTCGAATTACTCAAGTGTTTCACTTTTTTTCTCCCCTCTTGCTGTTTGCCTCCCCTCCGTCTCCCCTGTCTCTCATTGGTTGCAGGCCCTGCGCAGTCTGTCTGCGCTGGCAGGTGGATCCGGAGCAGACAGTTGTGGGAATCGGAGTAGGTGACATAGTTCTGGTGGGGAGGAGGAAGAGGAGGAGAAGTGCACGAGGCCAAGGTGGAACCATGTCGGCCTCTTGGCGCGAGGACAATGAAGAGTTGAAGGCAGGAGGAGTAAGAGGGGGGTCGAGACTCAAACCGAGGTTTTCCTTCAGTGAGGTCAAACTGCTGCTGGAGGCGGTGAAGAGGAACAGATACATCATCCTCAGTGAGTGTGTGTGTGTGTGTGTGTGTGTGTGTGTGTTTAGAAAGCGCCTTAGCCACAGTATGTGCTGATAAAGGAGATGGTGATTGTTTTGTTGACTGACACAAGGAAAATGTACATGTACAACTTTAGATGACTTTGTTCCCGGGCCTGTAATGATTTAAAATTCAATCAATTCAATTTAATCAAGTGATGCAATACAATAAAACTATAGAAGACTATAATATACAGTATGATAGTACTTCCTTAATTATGTATTATTATGTCTAAAGTGAATTATAGAGGATGATAATTTGAGATTAATAACACTAGTGACATGTTTGTGTCACGGCAGCTGTCCAGACTGTAGACGTGTTGTTTAGTTTGACAGATCCATGTCTGCGTTGACAACCGGCTCACTCCACTTGCAAATGCACAATTAACAGTGCATGTGAGATGTTTTAGCAGCAATGTAACCTAAAAGGTAGGAGTGAGAAACGTGACCAGGACTGATGATGATGATGATGTGGTCTCCCCCTGTAGAGAAGTTCAACCAGGGGGTGTCGGCTGAAGCTAAGAAACAGACGTGGTCTGAAATCACCGACCAGATAAACAGCCTGGGAGAAAACCGCAGAGAGGTTTGTTCTCCTGAGCGCAATCTGATTTTAGTCACGTTCGGATCATTCACGGCTAATTATCTTTTTTTTTTTTGCAATTTTGAACGGTATATTCTCAGACACCTTTCAGTTTTTTTTTGTAGAAACTGTCAAACAACAAGTTATCCATTTGGAACAAGTTTAATTAACGTAAACTCAATCGAGGACGGAATTTTCCTCCTGATTGTTTTTAAGATTATTTATTGAAGGATTTCGAGGAAAAAGGTTCCATATGATTCACTAAAGAAAGCGCAAAAAATATTTTTAATTTTTAAGATATTACTATTTTTGGTGAAGAAGAATGAGAGGTTGGACACCAAAGCATGAAAGATTAACATTTCTAATCGTTTGATTTATCAGATAATCATTTTGCCCCTAACAAAATTAAATGACATTAGCGAGAGCTCATAGCGATTTCCACAACCCAAAAATTGACAACAATATGATAATGAACCTGAGTGTATTTTTGCTTAATAAAAGACAAAGCGTTATTCGAGATGCTAGAAATACGGGCTCCCAGTGAAATTCTTCTTACAGGAGGTTTCTTTTTTTCCACAGGTGCGTCAGATCATGAAGAAGTGGGCGGACCTCAAATGTGATGGAAAGCGGCGCGCCATCGCCCTCCGGGGCTCCTACGGGAACAACGTGCGGAAGAAGAACCTGGGCCCCGTGGAGAGGATGGTCAATAAGATACTGATGATGAGCCCTCGAGGAGGTGAGTCGACGGCGTAGGAGAATAAATGTCTTTGATCACAGCTTCAGAGGCACCCTACTTACCCTTTATCGAGGTGGAGGGGATAGTAAAGATGACTCCTTACGAGCTCTGCCTATGTTTGGAACATGTTTGTCTCTCCCCACCTTGTTTGAGTTGTGAACATCGAGATGAGGTTATATTTCTATAATGTACACAATGTTTCCTCATCTAACGTCATATATTTAACGATATTTAGCCTTTTGAAAAAGTGTCAGGTGGTGTGATTGCAAACATCAGCTCTCACAAGAGTTTATGTGCTGACCAAAGTTAATAATATCCTCCCGATTTTGTGTATTTGTTTTTTTTGGTACATGAGTGGCTTGTGAAAATTGCTGAATAGGTCGACGGGTTTACTTTGTGACGACTGAATGAAACCTATGATCATGTTTATGATGCACCGCTGCGTTGCTAACCAAGACCATCTGAGAGTGGAGAGGAGTGAATTACACACCAAATGTTTGTAATGAATGAACTTGTTTCCGTCTGTCCGTCCTCAGGTGGCGACAGTGATCTGGACTTTGGCGAAGATGAAGATTTTTCCAGATTTTACAACAACCCTTCCTCCTACTCCTACCTCAGCTTGACGGACACTTCTCATTCTATACCCGGAGGAGTCTCCTACGACCTTTCTCCTCTCTCCTCTCCGGAGAAAGAACCTGGTGGTGAGTAGAGCTGGATTAGGAGTCTGTCCCAGGGGATGAAAAGAGATCCAACGTCATAACATCATGGACAACCGTGGCCGCTAGAGTGAGCTCAAACTGAACTGGGGGTTTGGGCAGTGTGATTTAATGCATGTTGAATTTCTTTTCTTCCATATGACTGTCAGGATTTGATGTTTTCTACCTTTTGGCATCAAAACATTTCTAACTGCTGCGTGACTGTTTTGCAGGCGACACCTTCCACTCCTCCTCTGATTTTGACCTGGCTGACGATGGAGGTGAGACTGTACTTTTTTAAGCAGCTGGTGTTTTCAATAGTAGAAAACGGTAGTAGTAATCACCTACAATTCGCCCCAAAGGATCGACCCATCTCTTTACGTTGTTGATTCAGATTAAAGTCCATAATAATACAAATAAAATCCGTTTTCATTTAAATATACAGCGTTCTAAATTGAACCGTAAGCAGTTTGTGTGTTGAAAATGCCTTTCTTTCACCCTCCACTTCACAACAAAAATTCCCAATCCCACTTTATTCATTTGTAATATGAGAATAAAACACATTTTGATTTCCAATATGTGGTCAGTCAATCCAAATAATGTCAGTTGGGCGATTTGCTGCGATGGAAACGTCCATATTTAGCCACTTATGAAGCTCCGTGTGTAGTGTCTTGTTGAATGACTGAATGTTCCGTCTGATCCACCAGACGGTACCATGGACCTTGAAGAAAACAACGACTCCGTGTTCTCCGCCTACCCGTCCTCTCTGCCCCCACCTTCCTCGACCTCCCTGGATCCCCTGCCTGACAACACCCTGCTGAGGATGAAGCCGGTCCACACCTACTCCCGGAACAACAGCCAGAACCACGCCCCCCCCCTGCCCTCCTCCTCCGATTCGGACCCCGCCTCGTCTTCTGCTGCCCTTCCCCCCCCGCATTCCCTGCCGAGCTCCTACCTGACCTCCAGCTCCCTCCCCGCTCGTTCCTCCTCACTTCCTGGTGCTTTCGCTCTCCACGCTGCCGCATCCTCCTCTCCCTCCGCCTCCACTGCGACCTCCATTTCAAACTCCCATGAGCCTTCTCCCTCTTCCTTGCCCCCACTTGCGGGCCGCCCCTCCGTCTCCACCTCGAGCCCCAACCTGTCCGACCCGCTCCCGGCCGGAGCGTCCTCCCGCAGGGCCCGGGACCACGTGGCGCAGATGGCCTCCCAGGGCCTCCAGCAGCAGCGGGCCAGCAGGATGCTGCTGACCTCGGTGTCCCAGTCTCTGGAGATCCTGGCTCAGTCCGTCCAGCTGCTGGTGGAGAGCCAGCAGGAGTTTGTGCAGGAGTCTCTCCTGCTGCAGAGGGAGACCGTGGACATCCTGAGGGACTTCTCCAACACGGCAATGACCATGCTGAGGGACAAGTCCAGCAGTGGGCAGCTGGCGACGCACAACCCCCCCCAGCCCACCGCACACTTCTGAGACGGAGGGTTCCAAATCAACCGAGTGCGGCGGAGCCCTCTGGGATTCAAACATACACCTGGTTGATAAAGTCTTGACAAGAGACTGAAATCTCGAGCCACAGAAAAGGACAGGGTGTCGCCAAGTGGGGTCGTAGGTCACCAGCTCAATGAGGGATGTGCCTGAATCTCGTCCTGATCAAAGGAGGCGTCTGAAGCTGCTGAAACCGTGTCCCCTTTTTACCCAGTGTATTTGTATTTTGTTGAGTGCACCGAGAGGAAAAGAACATAGTACTTGTTACGTGTGACTGTTGGTGTAATCGCTGGTCAAGGGCACTGCAGCAGAAAGAAAATGCAACGACTACTTTTAACAAACGCTACAACAAACCATTTTGACCCGATTGTATATTTTGTTGCAATTGTACAGCTGTTAACTGCTTTTAAAATGGCATTGAGATGTTGCTGCTATGAGGAAAACAGTCCATCATGCAGTGGGGGATAGAAAGCATGTTTAAATTGTTTGGTGTTTATTAATGGATATTTCAAGCTGGAACTTTTACGACCGCCCAAATGTTGTTGGACGTTTTTGCCGTCTCCAGCCAGTCGGGTTCTGGAGCTCACACCAAACTGTGACCAGCGGAAAGTAGTGAGCTTTACAAGTTAAATTAAATAACATGGATTTAAAGGCGGAATAAGATCCAGCTAACTATGACCCCACAATAAGCCGACACCATGGCGAGCACAGCGTTTCTGGAAAACACACGGGAGACTTCAATGTCTGGATTCTTTACCAAATAACAGTTGATGAAAGATGTGTTGTGCGTACACACACACACGCACACACACATCAGTGTACGTTCTCTGTATTCAGTGGGGATGGTCACCGAGTGATCCTTCTGCTTACCCACAATAGACGGTCAACTGTGTAACACCGGGTGATGTGATGTTCCCAACAACCAAACCCTGACAATAAAAACATGATTGTTAAAAGAACAAGCCGTTTGGAGTGCCTGTTTCTAGATTTTGGGCCGATTAGTAGCGATATTCTCTGTATTTGTCGACAAATAGCAAAAGGAACAAACCCATGCCAATGTCACAACTCCTACATCAACGCCAAAGTGTACTCGTAATGTAGGAAAACTATTACAGTAGATTCCACATCTAATTGATGTATACATGTTTGTTGTATTCCATTTGAAGGATACCGCCAAAGGTTCTTTTACGCGATAACAGACCCCTGGAGACTAAGTGGAGGCCTTCCTCAAGGTCTACTTACGAACGGCAGAACGTGAAGGCTGGCCGGAAGACTTTTGGGCGCACATTCTGGCGCCTTTTCTGACTGGGGACGCCCAGAGGGCATACCAAGACCTCGTGTCAAGGGAGGCTACAGAATACCCAACGGAGAGAGCTGGGGGTCATTGAGGAGTCCCACAGTGCCAGGTCCAGCCCAGTGGTACTGGTGCCCAAGCCGGATGGTTCTTACCGCTTCTGTAATGACTTCCGTAGACTCAATGACGTCTCCCAGTTTGATGCCTATCCTATGCCCAGGGTGGATGAACTGATTGACCGGCTGGGGACGGCCTGTTTCATCTCCACCTTGGACCTCACCAAAGGCTACTGGCCCCCCAGCTACATTCTAGCGGTTAATGGACAAGATTCTCTGGCCCCACCAATGGTCTGCAGCTGCCTATTTGGACGACATCGTGATCCACAGTGACGAGTGGGAGACTCACGTGAGCCGGTTGCGGGCTGTACTGGGGGTCCTTTCGGGGGAGGGGGCAGGACTCGCGGCCAACCCAAAGAAGTGCCGTCTGGGCCCCACGAACAGTGCGTGCGGATTCTTCGAGCTCTGCAAACTGTTCTCGTAGAGCGCCAGCATGAATGCAGTGACCGCGAAAGGCCAAGAACAGTAGCTAAATCTATATCGCTTCTTTGGAGTCACTTGTTGCCTTAAATCTCTGCAGTACCCGGTCCCACAACATTCATTATTACTGTCTCAAGTTTATCAAGTTTAGTGACCAATGCAGCAGCTCCGAGTTTGGTTTGTGTTTTCTCATCACAGTCTGAAGCTATTTTGGCTAAAATATCTCTGATTGCCTTTTCATTTTCATTGAGAGCTTTTGTGGAGTCTGCTCTGCAACTCCATCGAGTGCTGCTGAGGGATTTTAGAGTGTAATGTAATCTGATCGCTGTTCGCTGTTATGGAAAACTGTATTCCAGCGATGTGTTGATGCGCTGCAAAATGTATACAGGGACTGCAACAGTTCAAATAAGGAGTTACCCTCCTCACAGCAATTATCAACGCAGTTAAGACCCACGAGGTTCAGCGAATGGGCAGCACACGGTGTATAATGAATTAGTGCGCCAGGAGCCTGCTGTATTTGCCACATATTGCTAGCATTACTAAAACGTCTGACCACGACAGTTTGACAAGTCTAACCCCAGCCTCGCACCATTTCAAACACAGATTCAGCTAGGCTTGCACCTGTGTGGCTGTGGGTGGGCTCAAACTGGCTCAAGTGGAAATCTTTCCACTACTCTTCCATCTGCACTGACAAAACGAAAAACAAATGTGAGCTGATCTATGTGTGCTAAATCTGGTGTTGAATCAACGATTACAGAGACGAATAAATATATAAAAAACACGAGACCTTTCTGTAATTCTCACAATAGCAAAGTCATCCGGCGGGCCGAATTTGGCCCGCAAGTTTGACACGTGTGTGTGTGTGTGTGTGTGTGTGTGAGAGTGACTTTTCCTTTCTGGTACCTGGTGGTGGCCCCTTCTCCCTTCACTCTCCCACTCCTTTAGACCTCCCTGAGACAATCACCTTGTGCTGGTAAAAACACTGCAGTATAGTGACATAATTTTTTTGCATAAAGATATTTTTGTGATAAAAGCCATATTTTTAAACTGAGACCGTTATCTAACCAATCTGACCTTTTACTTATAAATAAAACTGGACACTATTCAAAACTAGAAATTCACCTCTCTGCTCCCCTTTTTTGAACGAATAAGAACAGTCATTTATTTGTGGTACTCTCTGGGTGAAAGTCCCAGAGTGGCGCTGTTTCATTGCGGAGCATAGAGCGAGGAAAACATGTTTTGGTAGGCAGGGTTTGCAGTTAGGACCATTCCAAATGTAATTCGTAAATTTGGACCCTGAGGAGGACCAAAGGCGTCTCAGAGGAGGACCAAAGGCGTCTCCGTAGAGGATTGCATGCTGGTTGTTGGCTGTGGTGTGTCAAGAGGAAGCTGAGCAGCAGCGGTGCTGTCTTCTCTGGCGTTTCCTTTAGAGATGCTAGATTACAGTGTTAGATGTGTGAGCTGCGATAGCTGTATTCAACAAAAATGTACAGTCCGGTAAATGTTGACTGTTTTGCCCTCTGAGAGTTTGCATGCCTCGACGGCTTGGGCTGAGAAGTGACCTGGGAGGATCCGGAACAGAGGCCCTCTGAGTCAGAAACCGAGAAACCAAACGATCACTGTTTGATTCAAAACCTAAAAGGTAATCAAGGAAGTCAAGAGTTACTTTTATGAATTAAATAATGTATTTATGAGTTCTACCTTTTTTTGGGGGGGATAAACTTGATATTGGGTCCTGCTCAAGCATGCGTTAAAGTAGTAGCAGATCTTCTATTTTTTTATATAACGCAATTTAAAAGGTGCTGTATAAATACTGTGAAGTATTAAAACTCCAAGGAGAAATACACATTGCCCGTATTCAGACACTGTGCCTTTAAACGAGCCACCAAGACTCGTACAACCTTTGCAGTTGTTAATGAAAACGAGATAGAGTACGTGAAGACATATGTTTAAAGTTCCAGAGAAATTCGGAAGTTTGACAGTTTGTTGTTGCTGATGGTTTGAGACAAGACGCTTGACAATGTGCTTGTATTTTTAATCCAAGGCCTAACATTAATATTCTTTAAACGAGCAGCCAAGACTCTTAATAAACTGAACCAGATTCAAAACTGTTTAATTTCGGTTCTGAGTCCTGCTCATACAAGGAATTTGACTTGGTAAGATTGTGCAAACAATTAATTGACAACATGAACGCAGTGAAAATCTACGGCCCATGTATATTAGCAATGAAATGGTAATACACATTGCTCGGCTGTTGACAGTAGTGTGACATCCCGACAAAAATCATCCTCCCCAGCGTCTGACCAAAGACAGAGGGCTTTTCTGATTCTGGACAAGGTGGGAGAGGATATTTGCACTCTTTTTTTGGAAGATGTTGGTGTGAAAGGCAAGAACATGAAACTTGAAGTCACCAATTAATATTACGGTTTCGCAAACCTGAGCAAAAAAAAATACAATAAATAGTTGAAAATACATTTTACAAATAGTCAATATGTGTCTATTTCTGTTTTTCAAACATGGAATATACCCAGTAACATTTGTAAATAAGATATCTGCGCAATATATATATATATATATATATATATATATATATATATGTGCTATATATATATTAAAAATGAAGAAACTGAACTGTTTTGAGTGCGTTGTCAGGGGGGCGGGGAAGGCAGGACTGAAACGCAAAATTTCAAAACAAAAAGACTTGAATAGTCTTTCAAGTCCTTTGACTACAACGTAGTTAACTGCCTACTGGTTTCACCCACAAATCCGAGGGGACATACAGGTACATATATAGACAATCAAAAAAGGTGTGCTAACTATACTATTGGTCTAACAAGTGTTCTTCTATGGGGATTGGGTGTCCACGCCTCTGAGCACACAACGTCTTCTTTGAAGTGGTGCAATGTGATATTGCACTGAATGCTGCGTTCAATGTCTCTCGGTCAATGTAGATGGTTATATTACATATTGCATGCATTAGCTGATCACATTACATTTAATATAATATTTAAGCATCGTTACTCAATTGATTTGTCTTAGAATTACAGTTATACATTGGCATTACATCGTTCTCATTTCTTTATTGATTACATAACTACGGAAAGTGGGTTAACAGTTTGTTGATATCCTACAATATATATATTTTCCTGCACGTCCTCTCCGCATGTCTAAACTGGGCTCTGGCCGTGTCCCAATGCGGTCTTAAGTCTAGTTTATGCTTCTACGTTTTCAGAGCGACGCAAGGAAACGCAGACGCAAGAGTCCCTTGCATCTGCGTGTCCCTTGCGTGTCTTTTCACACCTCCTTGCGTGCGACGCAAGCCTCCCGCAGCTTACAAGGCTGCGATTGGTCTGCTAACTACATCGTTTACGATGTAAGTAGTGCTAAGCCGACTTCAAACCGAGGGCCTCAAGGCCAAGCTAAGTAAATGTTCATTCTTTCAGAAGGAGGTCCTTTACTTTCTGGCGGGCCATGTGATTTCTGGCGAAGGTGTCTCTACCGATCCGAGGAAAATTGAAGTGGTAGCCAATTGGCCGATTCCCACTACCGCCTCGGAGCTGCGGTCTTTTCTTGGTTTCGGCAGTTATTACCGGCGGTTTGTGGAGGGCTTTGCTGAGTTGGCAGCCCCCTTGCACAAGGTTGTGGCTGAGGTCGACCATGCTAAGAATGGTAAGGGGTCTGAGCGTGGGTTCATCGGGTGTTGGACTGATGACTGTCAACGGAGCTTCCAAGCACTGAAAGCTAAGCTCACCACTGCACCGGTTCTGGCTTATGCAGATTTTCCCCTCCCCTTCATTCTGGAGGTTGACGCGAGTCATGGCGGTTTGGGAGCTGTGCTCTCCCAAGAGCAATCGGGAAAGGTAAGACCGATAGCCTACGCTAGTCGAGGCTTGAGGCCCACCGAAAGAAACATGTTGAACTACAGCTCCATGAAGCTTGAGTTTTTGGCCCTCAAGGGGGCCATGACCGATAAATTTAGGGAGTACTTGTTGGGCAATAAGTGTGTGGTTTATACTGACAACAATCTCCTTAGTCACCTGTCCTCTGCTAAATTGGCTGCTACTGAGCAGCGATGGGCAGCCCAGCTTGCCTCATTCGACTTTGAATTGAAGTATCGATCCGGGAGGAGTAA